ACTTCATGGTATAATTAATGTTTGTAAACAAAACTAACCTTACCTAACATTCAGCGTCTGAAGACACAGGGCTAAACCCGAAACTTAAAAATATACAACTTAGCGCTGAATAACAATTAAAACTAGAACTAACACTTGCACTAGAACTATACTCTGTTTTTAAACCTGGAGGAGTAAACGCGAAAGTCAGATTTACACTGGGAAAATCACCAGAAAATTCACTAGATATTTTGGCGGTAAATTTAAATTAATAATTATTATTTATTTATTTACTTATTATTGTATTTATTTTCGTTTGTTATCGTCAACACTATACATACAAATTAACATTGAAGTTATGAGTGTATTTATTTCAAAATATAATAAAAAAGGGTTTAAGAACACAAAATCAATTACCTAACCTTCAAATTCAAAATTGCCAGTGTGTGAACCTTCCTCGCATTCAACCAATCACGTGCAAGGTCAATCTGAAATTCAAAATCAAAATTCAAAATTGCCTGTGTGTGAACCTTCCTCGCATTCAACCAATCACGTGCAAGGTCAATCTGGTGACAAATTTAAAATACTCCTCCTGGTTTAAAAACAGAGTATAGTTAGCATTAGATATTAAAGTCCCTAGATTTACAAAGTATCGCGGTTTGACGCCATTTTGGCTCGAAAGTCAACCGGGAAATTTAAAACTACAAACCAAAACATTACGCCAAATTTCCTTTCTTTTTTTCTCGTGGTACTCTGAAGAGTCGAAAGTCCTTCTTACTGCCATTTTTGCAACTCCAAAGGCAACAAGACGGCAATATTTGTGTAAATAAGTGGTGAGATGCAGTGACAAGCTGTCAAACCGCCATTTTGGCTTGAAAACAGGCTTCATGAACCGCGGTACTTTGTAAATCTAGGGACTTTATTAAATATCACAGTGTTGCATATTTTTATTGAATTAAAACTAGAACTAACACTAGACCTAGAAATATTCGGGTTTAGCCGTGCGCTTAAAAATAATTTTGATGTTTCTTGAAAGAGTTTCGACGTGAAATAAAGAAAGAGCGCGACTAAGAAAAAACTATCAGGTGTTAATGTCAACTTTAATTTTATTGTTATATTGGAAATCTTTATAAAATAACCTTTAAAATGAGTCCAAACATGACGCACTTATCTCCAAAAACATTAAATCCGAAGTTAGCAACATTAAAGACAGCAATTTAGTTTTTAAATATTAATACCAACCTTAATTTTTGATTTTTTTTATTATATTTTTGTTTTTGTGACAAATTTTAAGACATTTTATAAAAATTAAGAATATCCTTGACATTTCAAACCGGAAATTGCTTATATCAAGGATTTTTTCACGACGATTACAAATATGTCAAAATTGACGTTGACATTGCTAACCGGAAGTTGACCATAAGTTCATTAATATTGAAGATAAATAAGATAATAAAAGGCTTTGTAACGAAGATTACAAATATGTCAAAACTGAGGTTGACATTTTAAATCTGAAGTTAGTTATCATATAAAAGAGAAATGGACAACTTCATGGTCCAAACATTTAACACTTTTAATGAATAAATAGTCTTTTTTCGTTTCAGGAATAAAGGTAAAGTATTAACCCAATTCATAAAATTTATTAATTCAATATAAATTGTAACAATCTAATTTTTATCTTTATCAGCCGCTCCAATTTTTTTAAATTCACTTGCGATCTTCTTAATCCCGTCAATTTCTTCTTGAAGAATAGCTTTAGCTTTATCCACATCATCCCCGTTATTTAGAACGACGCTAACTAAATCATAATATTTGCTTAATTTTTTATTTTGTTCATCGTTTAAATGAGGTTTTAAATAGGCATAAATAGCAGAAACGTGTCTTCCGCTGGTGTGGATAATATTTTGGGTGATTGTCACAAAAAGGATTAAAAGAGTTAGGTGAAGAACTATCGCGGGATCATCCGTTACTTGTAATTGTTCTAATAAGCTGTGTTTGCAGTTTAAGATAACGATACGATCCTTTTTCTTATCGATTTTCTTTAAGATCATGCTGCAACTTGTTAACGCATCTTCGACGGAGTTTAAAAATTCCTCGATTCCTTGTGCTGATAATGATTTTAGTAGAGTAAGCATAGGGTTTCGGTAATCATTTGGAAGTTCGTTAACAAATTTTAATCTTTGCTCGTTGGTACAATTATCTGGAAGTAAACTCAAGTTTTCTTCCATAGAAATATATTTTAAAAGTTTCATAACAACGTCGGTGCAATGAGTTTTTAATAAATATTTCGTTAGATTTGCTTGAACATCAACTGGAAATAATTTTAATCCTTTGTCAAATAATCTCACGTCTCCAACTAAAGCATTCATTCTATTTTGTAGATCATTATGGGTGTCTCTTCTATTCGCAGTGCGATCAGATATTGTGACTTTATAAATATTTCCGGCGGTTTCTAATCCTTTTTGATTCAAAGTCGGATATAAGTATTCGACTAAATAAGGTGTTAACTCATCTAAACCATCTTCTTCGAGTTTACTTTGTACCAAACCGTTTATATCATCCATAGAAACAATTTCCAAAAATTTCTTCTTCCCTGTTACTTCATCCTCAACATCTTCATTAACAGCACTTTTACCCCTTACGTATTTTTTAGTCGATTTAGTTTTAGTTTCTCTCCCTTGAGTCCCCCCGCCACTTTTACCACCAGCCGCTTTCTTCCTTCTTTCCTCCCGTTTATCGACTTTAACATCTTCAACATCATCACCTTTCGTACCTTTCGAAACTTGTAAATCGGTAAAATATTGTTGATAAGCCCCGCTTTCAACAGCACATCTCGCGTTTACTTCAACAACTTGTTCGCAATCGGCCGATAACGAATCGATGAATGCTTTGCTTAAGATGTAACCGCTTAAAAAGATAACTTCTTTACTTTTCTGCGGTGTTAAAACCATATCTAAAAGTACTTGGACGTCTTGGTCGTTAAAAACTGAAGGTACGTTATTTAAAACATCCAAGTGTGATTTGCTACTGATGCATTCGTCGATATCGGCTTCAAGGCGATCCAAAATCGTTTTCGAAACAACGCATGATTTTAAATATCTTACATCGTCTTGTCCAAGGAATTTCTTTAAGTAAGTTTTATAATCGGAAATTCCCAATTTTGTTAAAAGGTCATATTCCAGGTAATTATTTTGTTTGTAAAAATTGGAGATGTATTCGTTCTAAAAACAATCAAAGAAAAAAATAATATACATTTTTTTATAATTATTACCAACGGATAAGCTGTTACTAAGCCCATGATCAAAACAATTTTGAAGACTCAAAGATATTACAGTACAAAATTACTGTAATAAGATATTACAGTAATTTAAAAAACTTACTGTAATATCTTTGATTCAGATGTATTTAAATGTTATTGACACAAATGACAATAAACGTCATTACCAGTGTTGCCACACAGAGGACGTTGTAGTACCGTACTTGAAAACGAAAATTATATGTAAAAATACGGAACTTGTACTAAAAATTGTAGTGACACTAACGGTTTTGCGAAATAACTGTTTTATAGCTGTGCAAACAAATAGGTAATAGTATATTAAAAAACAAGTTTCGTAGGCACGAGTTTTTTAATGAATGAGTGCTTTAAGTCTTATGAAACGTATTTTTTATGCTATTTTTTGTAATTCGCGTTTTTATACTTTTTTTTAACAAAAATAAAGTAAATTTTGGCAATGTAGGGAAATAGGTATGTAGCAGTTGGTAACACCGGAACACTTGAAAATAGAAACTTTGAATTGACAATTAGAAACTGTCAAAACACAAAATATATTCACCTGAAAAAAAAACTTTTGATGAACACCTCCCAAAATACAAGAAATTGCTCAGAGTCAATGTCCTCATCATTGTGGACCTTGTATTCGATGCTAAGAACGTGTTTAAACATCCATAGACAAAAATTGTCACATTGACAACTAGAAAAATTAATGACCCAATGTCACCAACTTGAACTGGTTCCATAAAATGTTACTAAAATCTCATTACAGCATCGGATGCTGTAAGGAGTCTCATTACAGCACCCGTTTGAGTACTGTTATAGCTTCCATTACCGTAAAAATTTATTTTAACTATAACAAAATTACTAATACTTTTTACCATCATTCTTGAAACCACATTTGAGAAGCTTGTTTCCAAAACGTACCAAATCCACAAAATTTGGAATCGCTGTATTTTGGGCTGTCTATTTAAGATTTGCTTTCTCTGTATACTTGAATAGTAATTTCTTGTCAAAGTGTTCCACATCCCGTTGAAAATAGCCTCTAAATAACAGTTTTGGTTCCAAAGTGTACTACATCCAGTCGCTGTTTAGTGTCAAAACGTACCAAATCCATTTCAACCAATCCGAGACGTTCTCAAAGTAACGTGACTAACCTAAAATAATGTAACCGTGTAACTTTCTGCTGTCAACAAGATTGTTCGTCTGTTAGTATTTAATAGTTTACAAAATGAGTATTGTTGAGACAGAAGAGTTTTTTGAAGACATTCAATCGACAACAAATGCTAGAAAGCGGAAAAGTGATAAAAGCAAGTGGAAAAAGAATGTTCTTAAGAAAAACAGACATGAGCTTAAGTCAAAAAAAGAACCACGTGTATCCTGCTCACATAACGATAAAGTATGTAAAGTCAGACAACTAACAGCCGCTGATATATCTGGTTTCCATGGATATGTCTATAAACATAAAACTGCAGTTTCTCAAAAAAACTTTCTAAGTGCATACATAATCGTGGAAAAACCAAAAGGACATAGACCAAATCAAGGCAAGTCTAAAGGTCATGCAAAATCTATAAGTGTGAAATATTCGATTCAGTCTGGTGCACATTAAGTACCAGTATGTAAGAAAACATTTTTATCAACTTTGCAAATTAGTCGAAGAGCAGTAGACTATGTTGCAAACAAAAAATTTAAAAACGAACCTATTACTAAAGAAAACAGAGGTGGTGCTAGATTGTCAGAAAATATAATATTGTTACAAAATAAAATAGAGGAACACATCAAGTCATTCAAGTGCCGACCAAAACACTGGGGTAGAGCAGGTGCTCCAAATAGAAAGTATTTGCCCTCTGACTTAAGCATAAAGAAAATGTGGGAATTATTCTGCAAGGAAAATTCGTTGGATGACAATAATAAAGTATCCACATACTCTTTATATTATAAGGTATAGTGAGATTTTTGAGAAATAATAATTCTTTATTTTTAACAGTCAAAATATTGTTTCTTTTAGGTTTTTACTAAGAAATTTAATTTGGGATTTTCCTCGGTTAAAATGGATAGATGTAGCGACTGTGTTGCCTTCTCAAATAAACTCAAAGTCATAAACGACGACGTCGTCAAACGTACAATGGTTGTTGAGCAAATGCTTCACATAAGAAGATCGAAAGCATTTTTTCAGCAGTTGAATTTAAAGCCAGAGAATTCTATCACAATAAACTTTGATATGATGCAGAATCAGCCGTTGCCAAAAACACAGATAGGTGAAGCTTACTATAAAAGACAGATTTGGTATTATCTTCTTGGAGTGATAATTTGTGATGACCACGGAAAACTAAACCAAGAAAATGTATTTTTTTATCGGTGGTTAGAATCAGATGGAGGAAGAGGCTGCACAGAAATTACATCTTGCTTATGGCATTTTTTTAAAACAAATATTATCAGTAGGAATATAAAAAACATTCGATTATTTTCAGATAGTTGCTCCTCCCAAAATAAAAATTACACACTACTTTTGAGTTTGCTGGTTTTGGCCTGGAAATATAAACTCAACGTTGAATGGTTTTTTCCAGAGCGTGGTCATTCATACATGCCAGCGGATCGTGCATTTGGCATTCTTGAAAAAAAGCTTCGGAAAAAAGAGAGTATCATATTTCCTCACGAATACGATGATATCGTAAAATCAGTTGGAACTTTATATACTGTTTCACAAGATTTTAAATGGATGAGTTGGCGAGATCTTAATAAAAGCGTGGTAACATCTAGTAAAACATTTAAAATAACTAAGGCCAGGCGCTTATTGATCAACTATTCAACTCCAAAAATTGGTCTTGCTCTTTCTTATAGCCTAGCTCCTACGTGTGAACATACAATTCTTAAGAGAGGAATGAAGCTGGCCAACATTGAAGGACGTTTAAAAGAATTCCCTTCCTCAAATCATATCAAAAACGAAAAAAAGGCTGACGTAGTTTTTCTTCTCAACAAAATGGGATATGATATAGAAAATGTTATATATTATCAAAATGTTTTACGCAGCACTCAAGATAACGATAACGATGAAGATTCAGATTAAGTGTTGCACGAGTATTTGTTATGTATGTTATTATTTCTTGTTCTTTTTTTAGTAAATGCATCCAAATTTACTAAATGGTAGTCAGTGTTTTTTTATTCCATATCGTACTACATCCTCATTTTTTAGCAAAATGTACCAAATCCAAATAGTTTTTGTGTGTATAATTGAAAATATTCATCTATGATTTGTAGAATTGGAAAAAAAAGATTATTTTAGGTACCCTTTATGTATAAAGAAAACGAAAACCCATTTTAAATTATCAAAAACAAACATTATGAAAAAAGATAATTTACCAAATTTTCTATTTCGTGGATTTGGTACGTTTTGGAAACAAGCTTCTCATTTCTCCGTAAGTATTGAGTGGAACATCTTCTAACAAAGTTGGTAAATTATTTTGGAGGAAATACAAGTATATTTTTATGAAAAGAAAAATGGCAAGTGTTTGTACCATTTTACAATCTTGACTAAATAGGCCATCTTTTAAAATTACTTGCCAAGGGTGCTGTATTACTCCTTTTTTTAGAAATGGTGTGTCAAACTTAGTAAACATAAGTTTTTCAACTTCAAATTAATCAAACTTAATTTGGAAATGGAATAAAATACGATAAAATATTTATTTCGTTGTCTTCATCACTGGTGACCAGAAATAACGGTTTCTTTTGGTCTCGATATGTCCATAACTAAGAAAATCTTTATCAATTTTTTGGAATTTTTCCAAAAGTTTATACATTCGCAATCAATACAAAATACATTTCAAATAATTTATCGGCCTTGGAATAATCTGCCATGATGTTCATTTGATTTACACCCGTCGTCAAATGTAACTAATGACAACAATAATACAAACACGGACTAAAAAACTTTTAAAATTCCATGACTTTTTAATAAAAAAACCTGCATTTCGTGCATGTTTTAATAAATGTGCCAATATGAAGCACACTACAATAAATAGGTATAGGAATGTTTATAGATAATTTGTAGAGAATTAAATTTCCTTTCTGATAGGCTAAAAAAATGTGGGCCGTTCCGTTTAAAATTTTCTACTTTCTCGCCATTGACAATGGAGAAACAGTAATTCAATTTTTGACCAGCCTGTATAACGTACTCCAATACAACAAATGACAATCTATTTGGCAGCATCCGAAGAGTAATCGTGCTAATATAGACGTTTTTTTGAATGAACATTGGCTGAGATATGGGTTTTGAAGGGCATGGTGAAATTTACCAAAAAAAGCTTAAGAGATTTCTGTTTTTCTACTAAACCAGTAAATCCTAATCAACACGCTTACACTCAGGGCAAGTCCACACTAACGGCTCTTCACTTGTTAGAGCATAATGTTCCACCGACTCTCTGTAGTTGTATTGAGAACACTCTTAAACATAGAATTGTTAAGATTAGGGCTGGCGATGTCAATCTCCAAGGAGGAGTTACTCAAGGCTGTCCACAAGAGGGTGTACTATCCCTACTTTTGTGGAATCTCAGCCTGGATAGTCTCTTGAAACGCCTCACTGAAGCCAACTTGACTACAGTTGGTTACGCAGATGATTTAACCATTCTCGGCAAAGGCAAGTACATAAACGTGCTTTTTGATAGGATGCAAGTAGCTCTCAAATTGATAGAGTCTTGGTGTGACGAACAAAGACTTTCTGCGAATTCTAAGAAGACAGAGTTGATTCTTTTCACACGGATGAGGAAATTTGGCAAGTCCAGAATGCCATCCCTTGCTAATACTCCATTGGTTTTGTCAAAAGAAGTCAAATATCTGGACACCACACTTGACAATAAAATGACATGGAGAGTTCACCTAGATAATAGAGTAAAAGGTTATTTTTAGGTTTGTCACCTAAAAATGCCCTCTGGATTTATACGGCTGTAATCCGTCCTATGCTTACATATGGTGCAGTAGTATGGTGGTCAAAGACCTTACAGTCTACATCCACTGCTGCATATAATAAAGTACAGAGACTTGAGTGTTTGTATGTTACAGGACAACCCCCACTGCAGCCATGGAGAACATGTTGACCCTAACGCCACTTCATTTGTTCATTCAAGATGGTACTGGTGATTATGATTCGACTGCGAGCAGCAGGAATTCTAATGGGTGAGAGAGATAGTAAAAATGCCATTCTCTGGACTGAAATGGTGGATTACTCACCAATTCTGGAATGTAAAACGTACTTCACACCCTTACAACACATTTTTACGAAGAATTATCTTACCCACCCAAGTTCCACAAAAGTAGAGGTAAAAAACAGCCTTAAAATCTACACTGATGGTTCAAGTAGACAAAGGAGCTGGAGCCGGAGTCTTCTCGTACGATCGCCGACTCCACGTATCTGAATCTCCAGGTAAAAGTACCGCCATCATACAGGCGGAGTTAATCGCCATACAAGACAAGCTATTTTAGCCCTGAGTAGAATAAGTACCTCCGAACTTGTTATGCGTTGTCATGTGACATTGGAGAAGGCCGCAGTGCATAACTGTGTTGTACTTCAATGGACTAAAGGACACTCGACTTGTTCAGGTACCAAGCACGGTGATAGGCTTGCCAAAAGGGCTGCCAAGCGAAAGCCCTGTTCGCCTGAACCGATAATCGCTCCGTCCTTATCAACTCAGATTGAGATTATTAAAGATTTTACCCACAAAAAGTTTATGAACTGGTAGAATATGGTTAAGGGCTGTCATCTGTCTAAGGAAGTATTACGTTATCCCTCAGCAGAGGCAGCCTTGTCTTTTGTAAGGCTGTAATGAGACCCGTCACGGGTCATTATAAGGTAAACAAGCATCTTGTGACACATTGTTGACACATCTTGTGTGCTGCCTCACTCTGCAAGACCTCAGAATGGAGAGACATCAGAGAGGAATGGCCGAGCACGAATGGCATCAGGAACACTCCTCTAAGCTGTATGCTAGCCTTCGGAAATTCCTTAGGCTGATTGATGTAGCCGGAGAGAGTGCAGGAGGATGTACAAGGGGCCCGATTTACAATGTCGATTTAAAATAACGAAGTTATGGTCTACTTCCGGTAGACCGGAAGTGGCGGTCATCTTGAAAATATTTTAGACCGACAGTTCTGAATTATCAACCCATGTTACCAAAATTTCAAATCTCTGGGAATGGTGGAACCTGAAAAAGTTCTAAGGAACCAGTTACGTGAAACACCTGTATAGCATGGTTAATAAGGATTACATTATTTGACAGTTCATAAAGATATGGTCTACAGGAACGATTTTTACCATTTTCAAAAATATGTCTGTTATCACTTAACTAAGAGACATGGAAATTGTATAATTGTATATTTGATTCGAACTATTCGAGCCAAAATGGCGGTTTGACAGCTTGTCAGTGCATGTCACCACTTATTTACAAAAATTATGCCGTCTTGCCTTTGGACTTGCAAAAATAGTAGTAAGAAGGGCTTTTAACTCTTCAGAGTACCACGAGAAATAAAGAGAAAGGAAATTTGGCGTCATTTTATCAACAGAATGACATAGTTCTAAATTTCCCGCTTGACATTCGAGCCAAAATGGCGGCAAACCGCGGTACTTTGATAATCTAGGGACTTTATGATTGAATAGCATTTAACGCCATCCCAAGGTTTTTTATATTAAAGGTTGTCTAAGTTCCTACAATACTTTGATTTTAGTTTGTGGGCGAGCGGCAAGAATTTGCGCGCGCAACCTCAAGGTCATGTTTAGCGAGAGTTGAAGTGTCTTCTCTAGTGATAACATAAATCTATTACTACTTTAGTCTCCCGCAATTATTTAATGATAAGTGAATTTTATCAAAAATTAAGTTGAATTATTTTCCGTTTTACTACCGCTGTTAATTATATACCATACTAAAATATATTAAACTAATTCAATTACATTATTTTAAAAATTTGAATTATTTCCCGGTATTATTTGTACCCAATGTCGTAATGCGCAGTAAAGTTGTGTATAAACCTAGACAACCTCTTATACACAAACCTTGACGCCATCCTGCGTACGTATTTTTAAATTAAATTACAGATTTCTAAATTACCGTAAATTTTCGACCGTACATTTAGTGGAATTACCTTATGTATGGCAACACTGGTCATAACAACTTACTTGTGACCTTGAATAAACATTCGGAATATACTGAGCTCCCGTTAATCGACTTGTTAAGTGTCCATACGAACAACTCTGCTCAAATAACGAGAAAAATAATCGTTCAGAAATCTCCAAATGATTCAAAATGGCATGAACCGCTGTGGGTCGTGTTAACCCAACTAAAGCCCCGCGAATTTTCGCTTTACTCCTGGCAATAAACGATTCTGTAAAGAATACTTTCGGATCATTTTTATCTTGCCGGCCAAAAATTAATTTTCCCAAATTTTTCTCAAGCACATGATTTTGCAAAAAATCCGTTGGTAAATCGTATTGGATCGTTAAATCGCTAAGATTAATTTGCCCTTGTTGTTGTAATTTTTCGTTAATTTCCCCGGCAATTTTCGAAATGTACGTAACATCGATAAGTTGGCCCAAAACGAAATGAATGTCTTTGTGGCCTTTTAAAACTTCGTTGATATGATTCGAGACGTGGTTGTAATCGACTCCAATCACTTTTGATAGTTGGGTTAAATTAACTCGTCCTCCGTTTATGTACAGTTCGTTTTTTATATCTGTAACTAATTGAGTCGGCGTCATGTATTCTTTTCCATCGCTCGTAAATATTAAATCGATCATTTTTCTTTGGAGTAACCATGATACAATTTCTATACAGTTTCTTTCCGACAACCTAATTGCGATTTCATTATTATTAAATTGAATAAACTAATTAAAATTTTATTACCTTTGAGCTGTGGAGGTTAATTGAACTTTTTGGAAATCAGCTGCTAAACGTTTTATTTCTTCCCAATCAGCCATTTTCGCTGTTAGTTTAATTAATTAATATTACTTAACTGGTTTAAAAAGTAAAATTCTTTAATCTTAAGCGATATTAAGCATATGTTATTATTTTTGACGTGACATTTGCCTGTCAAATTAAGCCGATAAAGTAGATTCCATTAATTTGTATAATAATGTTTAAATAATCATAATAAATAAATTCAGTAAATTTCTATTCATAATTATTTTATTTTTAAAAACACACAATGAAAAAGATGTCAATTACGTCTCTTAATATTCAGGATTAGCCGTCTTAAGCAGTTTTGGGCGGAATGTGGCGCCCAAAATGCGGGGGGAAAATTAAAAATGCATTTTAATTAAAAAAATATATATAATCAAAGAAATATAAATAAACTTAAAAAAGACTGGAATAATCATAATCCATACATCAGCAAAAATTTAAGAATTATACTGGTGAAAAACCAAATTTAAGGGAATAGTCGGGAATACTCTGGTCAGAAGGTTAATTTGCAAGAAAAAATCTGAAATTGCAATAGTTATAAACTAGACTTCAGCAAAAAACAGGAATTACATTGTTCAAAGTCCACATGAAGTCTGAAATTACGGTTCAGAGAAAACAAAAAATTGATTATAAACCAAACATGATTTTTCATGGCAATACTTATGTGTTCAATAAAAGAATGCGAAGAATATGAACAAGAAACCAATGGACTTGTCTTGTTATGGCACAGGATAGGAAATCACCAATACAAAACTTTGCCAATGCAGGATAAGCACAAAAGCAAAGTAACAGCTGCAGAAATGAGGTACCGGGTGGTACAAGATCTGTATAGATAATAAGATGCTCCCAAAAAGATGATGATAGACACCCAGAAAGAAGTAGCTGCCAGTATCAAGAACAAAACATACATAACGTTGGCAGAAGACTAGATACTGCTTCTAAAAAACTAAATACAGCTTTCTGAAGACTAGATACTGCTCTGGAAGATTAAATACTGCTTTCTGAAGACTAGATACTGCTTCTAAAAACCTTATACTGCTTTCTGAAGACTAGATACAACATCTGGAACACTAAATACTGCTTTCTAAAAACTAAAATTGCTTTGTGGAGACTAAATACTCCTTTCTGAACACTAGATACTGCTGACAGGTCTAAATACTGCAAAAAAAAGGTAAGGTATTGTTGGAGAAAACATACATAACGTTGGCAGAAGACTAGATACTGCTTCTAGAAGACTAAATACTGCTTTCTGAAGACTAGATACTGCTAACAGGTCTAAATACTGCAAAAGAAAGATAAAATATTTTGGAGAAAACATACATAACTTTGGCAGAAGACTAGATACTGCTTCTAGAAGACTAAATACTGCTTTCTGAAGACTAGATGCTTCCGACAGGTCTAAATACAGCGTCTGGAACACTAAACACTGCCTTCCAAGACTGAAATTGCTTTGTAGAGGCTAAATACTGCTTTCTGAAGACTAGATACTGTTAACAGGTCTAAATACTGCAAAAGAAAGATAAAATATTTTGGAGAAAGCATACATAACTTTGGCAGAAGACTAGATACTGCTTCTAGAAGACTAAATACTGCTTTCTGAAGACTAGATACTGCCGACAGGTCTAAATACAGCGTCTGGAACACTAAATATTGTTTTCTAAAGACTAAAATTGCTTTGTGGAGACTAAATACTGCTTTCTGAAGACTAGATATTGCTTACAGGTCTAAATACTGCAAAAGAAAGATAAGATATTGTTGGAGAAAACATTAAAAAGACGCACGGCTAAACCCGAATATTTCTGGTTCCAGCTCTAGTGTTAGTTAGTGTAATGGTACCGGGTCTAGTATTAGTTATACTTTTCTTTCAATAAAAATATACTGCAATCTAGAACTAGAATCATTCGTGTTTAGCCATTTTGAGAGACGTGCAATTAAATCCAATGTTTCTAGTTTTCCGTCTAGAGTTAGTTCTAGTATTATTGATACACAGTCTATCCAACGACAGGTAGTCAGTCTTTATACATCGAAAGCCTAAGAAAAACAAGGGTTATTCATCCGTAAATATACGTTGAATTTGTAGGTTAGGTGTTGACGGGTTGAATAGGAAAATTCATGGTTAACCCTTTGTGCCCCAAGAAGTCAAAAATTTTGAAACTTTGTGACAGAATTAAAACGCTATCAAAATACACTCAGTAAAGGCCTTTGGAATCAATTTTAGCAAAATATACAATCTCCCCATTCCGGGGGGATTATGGTACTTGAGAGTACCATCAGACATTACAATATATTTTAGTGATGTTGCAGTAAACAAAAACTTTTATTGCCAATATAAAAATAATTCATTTTTTGCACGCAGTACATTTTGAGTGGGGTCTACCTTTGGCAGAATAATTTTCACAACTTGCTCTTTCTTTTGAACTTGCGCTACGATATTTTCGTGGATGCAGTAAATTTGAATATTTATTTATCAGACCTGTAGCTACAGGACGACGAATATGTGATAGAATATTGAGAAAAAAAATAACGAGCAAAAACTAACATTTTCGCATCTCTTATCAATATAAGTGTTAAAAAAGATGCTAATTCAAAAATTTCTGGAAGCCGTGTTTATTAAAATTAAGAAATGAAACTTATTTTAAATTAAAGCTTAATGCTTTCTCTTTAAAATGATGTATAATAAGTGTTGGGTTGGATTGGAAAAATATTGAGAAAAGAAATGTTGAAATAAAACTTACATTTTCGTATAACCTAAAAGTGTCAAAAAAGATGCTAATTTAAAAATTCCTGGAAGCCGTATTTATTGAAATTAAGGAATGAAACTTATTCTAAATTAAAGCTCAAAGCTTTCTCTTTAAAATGATGTATAATAATTGTTGGGTTGGATTGGAAAAATATTGAGAAAAGAAATGTTGAAATAAAATTTACATTTTCGTATAACCTAAATGTGTCAAAAAAGATGCTAATTTAAAAACTCCTGGAAGCTGTGTTTATTGAAATTAAGAAATGAAACTTATTCTAAATTAAAGCTCAAAGCTTTCTCTTTAAAATGATGTATAATAAGTGTTGGGTTGGATTGGAAAAATATTGAGAAAAGAAATGTTGAAATAAAACGTACATTTTCACATAACCTAAAAGTGTCAAAAAAGATGCTAATTAAAAAATTCCTGGAAGTCCTATTTATTGAAATTAAGGACTGAGACTTATTTTAAATTAAAGCTCAATGCTTTCTTTTTTAAATGATTTAAAATGAGTGTTTAAAACTACCGGTACTTTAAAGTACCGTCGGGACACAAAGGGTTAACATTGCTTGTGACGTCACATCGAAACTTTAATGTTATTTCTACACTTTCTTTTCATTATTAACGTGTTTTTTTGGGTCATTTCACATTGATTATATTTTTAAGCCACATGATTCTTGAATTTTTCCAAAATTTATTAAAAAAAAAAATAATTTATTGAAAAATTCTACAAAATTACATTCACAAATTAATAAAAGACCAAAACAGAATCTTATTTAATAAATTTTATAAATCAGATAAATCAATACCTTCTACTTTTGGTCCAAGCTCCTCTCCAGACTCTTTATCTTTCAAACTATCAAGTTTGTTATTAATTTCAAGTTTAGACCAACTAAAAGCTTCTGCTTTTCTCATATTGATCTCAACTTTAGTCCCAAACATACTCACTTTACTTTGAGAAACATCAATAATCTAAAAAAAAATAGAATAAAATTAAATATTTAAGCTAAAATATTTTTTTACCCCGCAAAGTTCCACATCTAAATTAAAAGTAGCTCCGTTTTGGTTTGGAAAAATAAGATTTGCATATAAACGTATTGGATTTAATTTAATTTCACTTTTATCGGGACAATATTGTTTTGCATAAATCGAAACGACAACGTGCGTCCCTGTTTGGTGATAATCCCATCTACATTGTACTTTTGTTGAATCCTCATCTTTCTTAACCCAAAGATGAGAACCTGATTCGCACCCGGCTTGGTTTAAAAATGCATTAAAATCGCTAGTTTTTCTTTGACAACAAGACCAATATTTCATTCCTTCATGAAATATTGGTACTCCAGGGTGATAAGTACATGTTTGATCATTAGAAACTGGTCCTTGATAAGTTGAAGTACAACCTCCATTTTTACATGAAGTACCAATAACGATTTCATCAGAACTTTCCTTTTTTTCAACAAAAACCTCTTCAAATTGTTTTCTTAGCGTGGGGGCTACGAAAGGTTTCATTAAAACCAATTCCGTTCGTAACGACGGTCTTTTTAAACGACTTTTTTCGATCGGTTTAACTTCAATGACATCACCATCAGGAACGGGTTTTTGCGTCTTTTCAGGTTCGATGGGTTTTACGTTGGAGTGCTTCGAAAATGTGCATCCTTTAATGTTTAAGAATTCGGTAAAATCAGTGCATTTTTTGTTACAACACGACCATCCCTTATAAGCATCGTGAAAGAAAGGCTCTCCAGGATGATGTTGACACGATTCTGAAAGAGAGGAATCGAACGTGGAATTAATTTTCTTGGCGATTTAAAAGTGAACATAACCTTACTATCCGTGTTGGTGGTTACATCGTATTTTTTACCACAACCTCGGTTGTAACATTGTAATAAATCGCTTGACATTCTTGGTTTATAAAGAGGGGTTTTGGAATAAGAAAATTAATAAAAAAGGGGTTGATGGGTTTTCGATGCAACACGAGTGACAGGTATAATTGAGGTTAGGTTTTGTTTGATTTTTAAAACGATTTATTTATATATTAGTTTTAAAAAAATTAATGTTAATTATTTAGTAATAATTAGATTAGAATTTAAAATAAATTAAAATGATACGATTATTTTTATAATTTAATTGTTATAATTAATTTCTACTAGATGGCGCTAATTTTGTTCATATCCAAAAACACAAAGACATAATTAAAAAATATTTGTTTGATTTTTAAAACGATTTATTTATATATTAGTTTTAAAAGAATTAATGTTAATTATTTAGTAATAATTAGATTAGAATTTAAAATAATTTAAAATGATACGATTATTTTTATAATTTAATTGTTATAATTAATTTCTACTAGATGGCGCTAATTTTGTTCACATCCAAAAACACAAAGACATACTTACAAAATATTAGTTTGATTTTTAAAACGATTTATTTATATATTAGTTTTAATAGAATTAATGTTAATTATTTAGTAATAATTAGATTAGAATTTAAAATAAATTAAAATGATACGATTATTTTTATAATTTAATTGTTATAATTAATTTCTATTAGATGGCGCTACTTTGTTCACATCCAAAAACACAATCATACTTAAAAAATTATGTAAAAAATATTTGTTTGATTTTTAAAACGATTTATTTATATATTAGTTTTAAAAGAATTAATGTTAATTATTTAGTAATAATTAGATTAGAATTTAAAATAAATTAAAATAATACGATTATTTTTATAATTTAATTGTTATAATTAATTTCTACTAGATGGCGCTAATTTTGTTCACATCCAAAAACACAAAAAGACATAATAATTAAAAAATATGTGCTTGTAAGATCGGCTATTTTTAAAAACCAGGTAAAATCGATCTCAAAGAATCCTCCAGCGTTATAACAATCCATCCCCAATTTAGATTGTTTAATAAAACTCCTTAAATTTCCTCTAAACTTCTTTGAATTAAAATCCTCTTGTGTTCTTTCCAATTTTAGCATCAATTTATAAGAGATTGATGGTGTTTTTTGTATTTCTCTATTCGATGAGGTCGCTGCTGAAGCTATTAATGAACTGTACGTCTAAAAAGATGGATAAATTTCACAATTATATAGTAAAAAAAAATATTTACCATATTTGTTACAAACCACCAAAGTCTCGTGAAAATATAGCGTATACTTTGGTTGTATAAAAAGTTAAGTAAGAATAAAAGATTTGTTGCGACCGTATTTAGAGTTTCAAAGAATAAAATTAGCCCATAAACTTCATTGATTTCTTCCATTTCTTGAATAAGACATTGAAAAACGCGTAATAACTCATCTAATTCGAAATTATCTTGATTTGTGATATTGGAATGGTTTAAATTAAAAAATCTTTTCGCTAAAATCCTATTTAACACTTCAAATCTGTTCGTAACACATCTTATTGTAGCCCCAATACACATCAATGTCGATTGGATCATTAATTTTTGGACCATTTCGAGAAAATATCCTCTTTTGATTATTTCCAAAGGTAATTGGAAATATTCCAAAAGAGATAAAAAAAATTGCAGGAATATCATTAAATAAATAACCCCCAATTTAATTGAATACCACAAAAATTTCTTTTCTTTATAAAAATCGTTATAATTTAAAAATTTCTTATCAATTTTTATGATTATGTTTAATAATCGAGTTAATTTAAGCGATTTTTTCGTAAAATTCATTGAAATTAGAATAGTTACATAAACGGTTATCATTAAAATCGTGCTTAAAGTAAAAACAACGATGCTGGTTGGCGAAGAAAATTCAAAACTCTTCATCCTAATTTGATAAACTAAGCTGTAAGATATCAAAAATGTCGTTAAAACGATGAGAATTATTAATTTCCGTTTTTTTGACGGTTTTTCAACGGTATTTTTGATTTTATTGTAAAATGGACCAACTCCAAAAGTGCTTCCAATTTTGAAACATACTAATAAATACTTAAAATCATTTCTTAAAGGTATTTCTTGATACATATTTCTTGATACACTAAAATTCTTGAAATGAATCATTTTTTGATGGGAAATATTAATGGGTATTGTAATAAATGGGTTGTTAATGGTTGAAATACTCTATTAAATGACCAATTTAATAAAAAGGAGGTTCTATTTAGCAATAGATGGTGTTATGTAACATAATTATTAAGATGTCCTCCATTATGTCCATTTATGACTTTATTTCCATGAAACTCATGGACATTAAAGTCTTGTTTGTGTACTCCATTAATTTGGCTCTTTATGTTAACTCCTCCTATGTATTGCTGCATTAAACATCATTTTAAGGTCTTTGACTTAAAGTTATCAACATTTAGAGCGAAAAACTTCTTTAATAATTATTTCCTATTACCTTAAACGTTTTAAACGTTACATTAAACGTTTCGTCTTCTATGATTTCACCAGGAAATATCTCATAGTTTTTATCCATTCCTTATATGAGGTTATATAAACAATTTTCTATCATAAACTTGATTTGTTTGTAATGCTCTAACACCGACGTTTTTATCTTCATTTTTGTTTTCTTTATTCGTTAGTTATTTACAAAGATAACCTCACATTTCTTTTTTTTTGACACAATCATATTCTTATTACCTGTTTTACCGACCATTACCAACCTTGTTTTCATTAGATTTTGAGTTTAAAATTGAAACACGCTATCTGAATATAAGTTCCACAAAAACCCATTTTTATCATTTAACCCTTGTTTATATATATATATACTGTAATAATTTTAACATTCTCTTAGTTCATCGAGAGAACATAACCTAAAATTAGTGACAGAGAGATTTTTTGTTGGTGAAAATCTTATCTTAAACCGTTTTGTTTACTTCCAAATGTATCAATTATTATAGTTCAGCTCCTAAAGCACATTTTTCATCCATCTTTTGAGGTTTTAACGTTATTTTGAGAAAGAAATCCTTGATTTAAATTTGAATTTTTCTAACTTTACTCATTGTTGAAATTTGGCGTGTACTCCAATGTATGTCTATAAACAAGAAAAGACAACGTTGAATACGAAGTTTTATTACATTTCATAAAGGAATAAGGGAGAAATCAACGAAAAAAGAATTAAATTTTGAAGGTTAATTCCGAGAAAAATCAAGAGATGACGCTAGTTTCGAAGCAAGAATTTTGAATTTTGAAAAGGGCGCGAAGCTAAGAGCCAATCAGAAACCAGGAAAAAACAGTTGGAGTGCAGGGGTATATAAGGAGATCGCGAACAGGAAGTGAGAGAGTCGTCGTCGGACCAGCGTCGAATCCACGTCGTCAGATAGAAGAATTTTTGAAGAGATAACCTCGAAAATTTAAGATAATTTAAAAAAAAAAAAGTCAAACCAACTTACAATATTAAAATAAAAAAAGATTCATCCTACAACCTATTCCGAGAATTACCGATACTTCTTCGAGATCATCCGAGACCCTATGTCCGAAGAACAAACAGTGCAATTACCCGTAAGAATCCTGTAGACAATCCAGAAAATTAGTTAGTGCCCCGAACACAAGAGACAATTCCATAATCCAGATACCACATTGAACTCCAATCCTTTCTTTTATACAGTGAGTCGGATGATAATTTTATTTTATTATTTAACATAACCTACAAAAAGAAAATTCAAAGAATCAAACTCAAAGAACAACTCACAAGAGTTTCCTATAATTTTGATCAATACTTACTTGTGTGTAAAGATTTATTAGTTTTTCTTGAATAACGTTCATTTATTTAATTCTATTTTTTTTAACGAGTTTGATGACAACTTAAGACATCGGCCATTTGTTATTTTCAAAGAACGGTTCTAACCATATATATACTATCTTCTATATCGCTGACTCCCTATCTAAGCAATGAGTGGCGAGCGTTTCCATCAAAAGCAGACGGAATGATATATGTTTTGTCTTTGTCGTGCCCCCATATCGCGAAGGCGCTTGCGCGAATCGTAAATTTTTAAGAGTTTGAAGTGTTTCGCGCGTATTTTATGCAGCTTTGAAATGCAATTATTGTAGATAGTTGACTTTAATTATAAATTATCGTAGATGCATCAAATAAATTAGAATATATGTACTTTTGTGTAAAATTGACGTTGAATATTGCTTTAAATATCAACTTTATGTAGGTTGTTCATTAAACATTATATTCTTTACTTTTGTTTAGGCAACCCAAATAACAAACCAAATTTTATGTAACCATGACAATTTTGTCGATTTCAAATGTTATAAATAAAACAAGAAGCCATTATTGTATTAGATTTTAGGTTATGTTTATGTTAAACATTTATTTGGTGTTTTATAAACATCAAGGTCATCAGCTGCTATTAATTTTTCATTCACCGTCCAATAAGATAAAAGCGTACTCACCACGTGTTCACGCATGTCTCTTGTGTAGACGGGGGCACGACAGAGACAGATATATATATATCTGCACTCTAGTGTTTACACTCTTTTGCTGCCTTAGTCAGCGATATAGGAGATAGTATATATATGGTTCTAACGGTTCTAACTAGTTTTTTCCTACTCTCTCTCTCAAATAATAAACGGGTTCTCTCTAATATCGATATTTCAGTCGATAACCGCAGTTATCTATTTTATTTTAAAAATTTATCTCTCGTAAATAAGCAGTGTTATTAAAGTTAATTTAGGAAAACCATTTTTTTTGTTGTTACTCATAAGACGAGTTAATTTGATTTTGTATTAATTAAATGAATTTTTTGTCGAACCTGATTAATATTCTTTTGAACCTGAACTTGCCCGAAACCTTGAGTTTTTAATAAGTCTCTTAAAATTAAAAAAAAAACAAATTTATAGATTAATAACTTGTGTATAAAACATCACACAAGTAAAACAGCACAATACCATATATATGTATATTTATAAACAAAGATTTTAGTTTGTGCAATTATAATTTCTTTGATGCGCCATCTATTAGAACTCAATGGAAATTTCGTCATTTTAAACGTCAAATTTGACACTCCAAGAAGCGGTTCTTAAATTTAATTTTATAATTTTGAGGTTCATCGATGAAAGTGTTATTTAATATTGATAATAATGTTGATTGGGTATGTACGTAGATGCACGTGGAAGCGATAATAATCGATTTTATGCTATCGGAAACATTTCTTCTAACATGTATGTAGTTGTTCACAATATGAGTTAACCAAGGGGGCAATAAAAATACAATTACAACAAAATTTATATAATCAAGTTGGAAGATAGTGAGAGCTAAAGACCGTTGGAAAGTCTTGGGAGTAAACAGAAATTATTTGGAGTGATTTGGGAGCTATTCATTGGAATCAGATTTATACAGTGTAGTCACAAGTTGATCTTTTTTGATTAACCCGAATGTTATCATGAAAAACTCTGTATTACTTTTAATTTTTCCGGAAAATGAAAATAAATTTGCAGCAACAAACACTTATTACAATCTAGTAAGTACATTTACTCAGTATCCTAATTTTAAGTACAATAATTTATATTTAAAACCAAAATATAAACAAATACTTTATGATCAATCCCTGTAGATTACAAAACTAAACCACACCTTTACCCACTTTCCTTTATCATACGATAAGATAACAAACACTGTATTAAATAGAATTATTTTGTGAATCATTTCTAATACTATCCTTACACTTGTTTTTTTGAGTAAATAACAAATAATTTTAACGATGTTAACTAAAAACATGTTTAGTACAATAATTTTATGCGTTTTCTTTTGTGTATTTACCAAAATTTGTTTAGGTAACGAAGAATTACCACGATCCGGAGGCAGTAAGTTTGTTTTCCTTTTTAAATTAATTATTCATTATTATATTTTTAGTATCAAACACCCCGTGCTCATTAGATAGAGATTGCAACGAAAATAGTTTTTGCTTTGGAAACGATCAAGTTAATCGAGGTTTTTGTCGATGCAAAGATGGATTTATTATTTTCAGAAATAGAACTTTTTATGAATGTTTACCACGTAAGATTAAATTAAATGACTTTATAAATTTTTTAAATCAAATTTATTTTTAGCCGCCGAAAGCGTTGGATCATCTTGTATAAGAAACAATCAATGCACTTTAGTTTTAGGAAATCCTTCACTATGTCTCAACAATACTTGCCAATGCTTGGAAAATTCGCATTTTGTTGAACCTCAAAATCAGTGTTATTTAACATCAAGTAAAAAAACGAAATTGATTCGATTCTTTTTATGAATTAAGTTTCTTTTAGGACCTGGTGAATTATGTCAGTCGGATTTTAATTGTTTATTATCCGATAATAGCATTGGAAATTGCTTTATGGGAAGATGTAAATGTCCAATTCTTCATCATCACACAGATGATGGTAGATGCGTTCCATCTGCGTATTTAGGTGATGTTTGTACGGAAGACGATGCTTGTAGACACACCTTTGCTGCGTGTTACGACGTTTGTAGATGTATTGGAGGTTATGCACCTTCATCTGATGGAAGAACTTGTTTATTGGGTAATAAAAACGGTTAAATAAGTCTGGAACACATCCTCATTAAAGAAATTAATTTTAATTTTAGCTGCAAATAGTTTCGGAGATAACTGCACTGAAGTATCTCAGTGTACAGAATATTTAAGTAGTTCCATCTGTCAAGATGGAACTTGCCAATGTCGCACGGGTTTTCACGGAATTGGACCTCATTGTTGGAGAGATGTAACGGCAGGGGGGATGTGCGAGGATAGACGAGAATGTTTTATAAGAAATAATACAATGGAAAACGTTGGTTGTTTGGATGGGGTTTGTACATGTTTGGAAAAGTTTGAAAATATAAGGGGGCATTGTATACCATCGAAAGGAACAATTTTAACATCATTTAGGTTAATAATTGCATTTACGTTTAGTTTTCTTATAATAAAGTTATCTTAAGAATCATTATTTAAAATTATAAAATTCTTTAACGTTTTATTCCCCAAACAAATCGATAATTGGTAATTTGAAGATGCTCTTTCTTTTCCAAGGCTTCACTCCTTTTGTGAACCTTTCACCACCTTATTCCTGGTAGAAATAAATAATCGATCTAACAAAACCCGTACAAACGGGGTTCATTACGCGATGGATTGCGTGATTGTAATGTTCTTTGCGTGTTTTAACTTTTTACCCATCATTAAAAGCCAAGACGATTATTATTCGAGACCGTTACAAGCATACTGTAAGTGATTTAGTCAATTAACTTTCTTGTTTTAATAAAAAAAATTCTTAGCTTCATACAATGAGCATTGTATCTCTAATAAAGATTGTCGACCGTTCGGATATATTTGTAAAAACAATAAAACTTGCGATTGCGATCGAATGTATTCTTTGGATGTTTATAAAACTCAATGCGTTGGAGGTAAAAAACAACTTTAAGTAAAAAAAAAAAACATTTATAAATCATTTTAGGTGTTGATCAAAAATGTATTTACGATGAACATTGTATAATCGGGGCGTTTTGTATGAACCAGGCTATTTGTAAATGCAAAGAAACGACTCCGGTTATTCTTGAAAATGGAATGGTTTGTGCAAGTAAGATTTAATTTAAATTTTTGTTGGTAGTATTGTTTCTGTCACAAAAATGAGCACATTTTTATTTAAAATACAAAAGAAACGAAATTAATTTTAAAAAAACGTGATCAATAATGAAAAAAATTAAAAATTTTAACATATTTGAGTTAAATTATCTAAATAAAAATAAATGGTTATAAACAAAACTAAATTTAAGTTGGTAGTTGAATGACGTGAAGTTTAAATTTCAAAAAATTAATTTTACTTTTATCTTAAAGTATATAATTTACTTTGAGACATAATTCATTAATTAATTACGATTTTTCCAAAATTATTAAAAATGGTTAGGCAATTTAATATACATAAAACAGAATGAAGTTCTTTGAGTATTGGTTATAAGGTTATCCAACTCGAACAATTAGACGGGGTGAGGTAATAATATAATATACAGGGGTGTCCATTATGTATGGAATATAGTATATATCTTGGTATCAACTTTATAAAAAAACAATTTATACAAAAGTTGTTTAATATTTTGTTTGCCATAATAATGCATTCAATTGTTTTTATTTCAGAAAACAAATGAGTAACGAATAACACTTGAAGTTTTTTAAATGGCAATGTATCCTTTCGTTAGGCTCATTTGATAGAGATTTGTTTTCTCTTTATGATGACGTAAAATTTTAGTACTCTTATATCAGAAAATCTTTGAAAAAAATTTTAAAATTGTTTATTAAGAAAATTTAACTAATAACATGAATCTAGATATCCGAGATCGTCAAGTACCTCGAATTCCGAATACATGTTAGTTCTATTTCAGTAAAAATAGACAACAATTTAACGCTTAGTAACAATTTTCAAAGTTTCGGGTTTAGTTAAACCTGAATTTTTCTAGTTCTAGGTTTAGTGTTAGTTCTACTATTAGTGCAATAAAAATATACAACATAGTGATATCTAGCAACATCATGTTTGCACTCATTTTAATAGTTTTTTTTAATAAAGAATATATCATGAAAGAACACCATGAAGTTGTGCATTTGTCTATTATATGATAACTAAGTTCAGATTTAAAATGTGAACCTCAATTTTGACATATTTGTAATCTTCATTACAAATCCTTTAAAATGAGTACAAACACGACATATTTATCTTCAATATTAATGAAGTTATGGTCAACTTCCGGTTAGAACTGTCAACGTCAATTTTGACATATTTGTAATTGTCGTGAAAAATCCTTTGAAATGAGCCCAAACATGATACGTTTAATTCCAATATTACTCGAGATATAAGCAACTTCCGATTTGAAATGTCAATGTCATTTTGACATATTCTTAATTTTTATAAAATATCATATTTGTCACAAAAACAAAAATACAATAAAAATCAAAAATTAAGGTTGGTATTAATATTTAATAATTAAATTACTATCTTCATTGTTGCTAACTTCGGGTTTAATGTTTTTTATTCCAACTTTTTTGTTTTTTGAGATAAGTGCGTCAACTTTGGACTCATTTTAAAAGGTTTTTAATGAAGATGACAAATATGTCAAAATTGACGTTGACGTTTCAAACCGGAAGTGATTGTATTTCTATTAATATTAAAGTTAAATATGTCGAGTTTGGCCTCATTTTAAAGGATTTTTTATGAAGTTGACAAATATGTCAAAATTAAAAGTTGAAAGTTCGAACTTTTTGCTTTTTTGAGATAAATGCTTCAAGTTTGGACTCACATTAAAGGTTATTTTATGAAGATTACGAATATAATAATAAAATTAAAGTTGACATTGACAACTGAAAGTTTTTTTCACGACTAAACCCGACTGTTTCTAGTTCTAGGTCTTGTGTTAGTTCTAGTGATAGTGCTAGTGTAAAACTAGAACTAACACTAGACCTAGAACTAGAAATATTCGGTTTGGGTTCAAGCTCTTGTCTAATTGTAAGACGCTCGGCTAAACCTAAAAGTGTTAGTTCTAGTTTTAATTGTTATTTAACCCTAAATTCTTGTACATTTTAATTGATCTAAAAATTTTTTTTTTTGATTTAATCCACTTACCTTACTTATAATTTCATCCATTCACCCATTTTGAATTAAATACACCTTTTAAATCCAACTAATTATATGTTTTTCATTAAAAAAACTTAAATTCAACGTCAATTTTGACAAGCAACTGCAATATGTAGATCTTAATCACCATGGTAACCGAGTCAAGTTGGATAACCTTAAAATAATAAAATTTTATTCCGATTTTTTCATCAATTCTAACCAAATTTTTATTAATATTAAAACAATTCGAATTCTTTACGATTATCTCGCATTCGTAACAAATTCGTTACTTGTAGTTAATTTAAATCGATTCTAATTAAGAGAAATAAATTAAAAATATCTTTTTTTGATTTAATCCACTTACCTTGTTTATAATGCCCTAGGTAAACCAATTTCGAGTTAAATACAGCCTTTTAAACCAATTAAATAAGACTTTTTCCTTAAAAAAACTTTGAAAACAATTTTGACAAGCACCTGCAATATTTGGATCTTAATCACCATGGTAACCGAGTCATGTTGGATAACCTAACAATAATAAAATTATAACTTAATATTTCGCTTTATATTTTAGTATTTTTTTAATTTTATTTTATCTTTTCTTTTTATATTTTTGTATATTGCTTCTTAAGTGAAATACACTGTATAAATAAAAACATAGAAATTGTCAATTCTTCCAATGACGTCACAGCAAAGCCTTTGCGGGGGATACGTTCATAAATACAGCGTTCATATATCATACGTTCTAAAATAAAGATTCCTGTTAAAAACTGGTTTTATTAATTATTTATAAATAAAAATAGTAATTTATGTACATTTTTATTCTTAAACAGTGTTAATTGAATCATAACAATTTTATTCGTTTTTAGAAAGCAACAAAATGAAGAATTGTGAAAAGTCCTGGGTTTTATTACCCTTTATAATCGCATTCTTAAAATAAATCTGTTTTAATAAAGTGCACCATTAGAAGATAAAAATAAAGTAGATAACAAACGATCTAATTGTTTCATTTAATTTATTTTAACATTCAAAATCAACAGGTCGATCAACAATTCCATTTGGAGCATCGGATAATTCACAAAGTCCCCATAAACAACCATCCCTGGGATTTCCCCACTTTCCAATAAATTGCATCCAATCGGGTTGTTTCGAATACTTCAAATGATAAATTTGAATGTCCTCCCAAGTTCTCCACACAACCCCGTAACCGGTGTAATCATATAAATTGGGAAGTTTATAATATCGTTGTCTTCCACGATCACCCCATAATCCATGTGATCCTCTTGCAGCATACAAAACCGGTCTGTTTCTATCCAACCGCACCTCCGCAGGAAAATTAATGTGTTTTAAAAGTGTTTTTCTCCTCCTTTGGTCTTTATATCGAAAAACTCTACCTCTTAAATCGTAGGAATAATAAGCACCGATATCATGGGTTGAAGCAAAAAGCTCGGTTGGTTCATAATTGGAATTAAATGAAATCGTTATGTGTTCAAAATCACCAACGTGATTCCCAATTTTTTTTGTTACACCTAAACATTTATTTAAAACTGGAATGAAAGGAACTGGAATACGCGAACCAAGAAAACAAACTTTTTTCCCTTCATTATATGGAAAGAAAAACCAATAAGATGCTATAAAAGTAAAATTTCCTCGGGATCTTTTTTTCATCCCACATTCATTTACAATTACGTAAGAGGGAACTGAAAATTTATCCGGGTTTCTGCCGTTTAAAAAGGATAAACTCGATTTTAAATCGTCTAAAAAAATTTGGTTATAATTTTATTTTAATAAAATTAATTTGTTTTGATTAAACCTAAATTCATTCTGGTTGTTAAATGAACGCCATGCGATGATCTTCCAATTGGTAAGTTATTATTTAAATCATTTTTGAAATCGTTTTTAATGGGAGTCCCATCTGAATTAGCAGGATAAACATGTTCCAAATACTCCTCAACGCTTAACGGAAAGAATTTCTCTTCTGGATGAAAAATAATTAAAGGTGCCCATTTTTTTATAGTCGAATCGACTAAAAAACTCTAATTTCCCATATTTCGGCGACCGCTTAAGAAAATTAACCTTAATCTTACCCATTTCGTGATTAATTCTAAAACACCCAATAAATTTAATATTTAATAAAGTGACTATTATAATCTTGGTCACGATGTCAAACATTTCTTTGGTATCCTTTTAAAAGATTAACGATAGTGATGTTGACCGAGAAACTAAAACGTTTCTTTCACCACAAACTCGGTTAACTACTGGGAATTTGGAACGAAGAGCAAGCGAATTTTATTTAAACTTGGCGTCCCTACTTCTTCTTTCACTTTAATTGAATTAAAACTCGAGATGTTTTTTAAACTTTCTTTTTGTATTTTGAAGTGTTTTGATGATGATTTCGTAATGAATTTTTATTCATTTTGGTAACGAATGTTTTCCTTTTTTCTCTTTTTGGTATCGTTATGGAACGTTGTGAAAGCAATAACAATGCGAATGCAATGTCATGGTTTTTCTGTTATGCAAGAAATGAATTGATGAATTAATAGAGTTAAATAATAATTTTTATTTCCTTCAACATAAATTGTATTTAGTCGAAATCGACTTACGCTCACTCAATATGATTTTACATTAAAACAACTTGTTTCATGATGATTATATGTAATACAATGAACAAGAATTGATTTTTTTAATGATACAAATAATTATAAAATAGAATAAATTACTTAAAATAATAAATCTTCTTAGAAGACAACTTTAGTTTCTTGTTTAATGTGAGCTGGGGCTTGATTGCTTTTCCCCATATTAAAAGTTTTCGCTACTTTAATAAATTTTGCATCGGGCGAAGACCTCCAATAAACGGTTTGGACGGCGTTTCTTCCGGCAATATATCTTGTAGCGGCACTGACCAACACTTTAGGTTGCATCTTTTCTTTTTACTTCGAAAAAATTAAACAAAAAATTCTTCTTATAAGAAGATTTGAAGTTTCCTTTAGAAAGGAACTTGAGTAACTGTTCTTATTTTAGAAAGGAACTGATTGTAAACAGTAGGAAATTTCGTATTTATACCCAAGGAGTTCTGCTTATCAGCAATTGTGACGTACTAATCGCATTTTTAAAATTTCTGTTCTCGGGGTATTGCACGGTTAGACACGATGTCTAAACGTGATTAAAAACGATATGATTGTAGTAAATTCCTTGGAAATTTTGGTAAACACAATCGGTGAACACGTGAGAACTAAATGTTTTACACGATTCGCGCAGCACAAATCATTTTTAATACTTAAACTATCTTATTTGAGCTTATCTTGTTTAGTCAATATGGGAAGATCGATTTTTTTGGGACTACTTTTTAAAGATTTTAATCATTTTATTACTACTTGTGTTTTGTATAAAATGATCTCATTTTTTATTAACCATTGTTACTATTGTTTAACAACATTTTTTTTAAATACTTACAATTGAGACAATCACTTTTTGTTACTATCTAGACAAATTTAGTTGGAACTGGTTAGTTATAGTAAATTAATCATTCCATTTTTTGTGGTTTCTCTGTTTGGGTTTTGGGGTTTGGTCTTTATCGACATTTAATGATCTATAAAACAGAATTGTTTTAGTTTTTAGATTTCTTAATACATATAATTTACGTTTAAGTGTGTACTTTTGACATCAAAATCTCTTTCAAAATAAATCAAATTATACAAAAATATTTATTAAGTTTTAAAATGTGATCTTGTAGCTTTAATTTCGTACATAAATTGTTTCTTAATTTCAATAAATTCAATTTTAAATTATTTGGAATAATTTTGACATTTTTTTAGGTTATGTTGTCATTCTTTGACATTCAAACGTCACAACAACAATTTTAGGTTATGTTTCGTTATGAAAATCAATAATCTTTTATTTGAGACAATAAAACTAGATTAAATTGACTTTATAATGCTGTTTATTTCATCACCATATCTTAATTAGTTCACGAAGAATGATTTTTTTAAGTACCATTCATTTCTATAACTGTCAAAATGCACAGTTTGAGTTAAAACGTCGTTGCATCCAAATTCAGGAAGAATAAGAATTTATATTTCGCAAATTAAAACTAGATTAAATTTGCTTTAAAATACACTTTATTTCATTATGATATCTCAATTAGTTCTCGAGATACGATTATTTTAAATTGACATTCACTCAAACATAACCTCTTTAATTATTGATTATGCAGAGTTGAATTCAAGAAATCTTAGCACCGGAACTATGAAAAATTAAGAACTTACATTTGAGTCATTGAAATTAGATTAAATTTGGTTCATAATGTCGTTTATTTCAACACCATATCTTAATTAGTTCACGAAGGACGATTTTTTTAAGTTACCATTCATTTCTATAACTGTCAGAATGCACAGTTTGAGTTAAAACGCCGTTGCATCCAAATTCAGGAAGAATAAGAATTTATATTTCGCAAATTAAAACTGGATTAAATTTGCTTTAAAATGCACTTTATTTCATTATGATATCTCAATTAGTTCTCGAGATACGATTATTTTAAATTGACATTCACTCAAACATAACCTCTTTAATTATTGATTATGCAGAGTTGAATTCAAGAAATCTTATCACCGGAACTATGAAAAATTGAGAACTTACATTTGAGTCATCAAAATTAGATTAAATTTGCTTTATAATGTTGTTTACTTCATCACCACATCTTAATTAATTCTCGAGTTAATAATTATTTAAGTTTTCATTAAAGTAAGTACAACTGTTAAACATGTAATGTTTGAAATATCAATAAATTTCTTCCAGTTAATGTGAAAATTTAATAATCTAAACTTATTAATAACACAGTTTTGAACAAGTTTTGTTCGTTTAAACAACTTCTATTAATGTTGAAGGGAGAAAAATGAAAAAGTCTTCAGTTATAACCACATTTGTTCTCTGTTACTCTATTCAAAGATTGTTTTTAAAGATTGTTATATTAATCGTTGCTTTAAATTTTAAAATAAAGTTGAAATGATTTTTTTTTAACCTAGGTATAGTATTTTTTATTCGATTTATTGCAAATCGGATGATACAGATAAAACAATCAATTAAATTTAGCTCGAAAACGAACTAGATAAAACTAGATCACCTTAAAAATATAAATATCGATTTAATTAATTTAAAATAATAATCATAAAAAGAGAAGTAAAGCCACAAAGTCTGCGGATTTGTTTCACAATCTTTGTTTTACTTTATTAAACCTTTATCATCTTCTTCGAAGTGACGTCAATAATATTTCAATAAATTCTATTTTGAACTCTGTTTACTAACATAAACTATATACAAACCCGACAATTATTATATTAAGTCACACATAATTATTTTATTGTTTAATTTATAATGGGACAACATTTTATAATGTAATAACCTTTATTGTAATGAAATCACTTCAAAAAATACTTTTTTAATTATCAGCAGACGAAAGGGGAATCTTTGTAATCGGTGTCGTTGAAATTCGAACTTTGTTTATTTACGTTTCTGGGTGGAATTTTTTTGTAAAAATCAACTGATTACTGATTAAAACCCTATGTATAGAAAAAAATCTTCCGTAGGATGTTACATAAAAGCAAAATAACACACTTGAGATTGATTTTTATCAACGGTGATGTAAAAATACACAACAGAAATGGAAAAATTTCGCTTTTTTTTTAAAACGCTTAGTAATGATTTTTTTATTTTAAACCTTTCAAAACAACATTTTTCGTGGTAACTTTTCATCAAATTGATCACGGTTTGATAACGTGTCGATTTTTATAGACGTCATGAATATGATAACGCATCCCTTAATTTAGTATAAATACAAGATGTTGTATTAAAAATGTTTAGTCTCGTTTTAACCACAACGTGTAATAAAGTAATAGAGTTTAATTAAAAAGTTAAATCAAGATGCAACATAAAGCTTTAATTGGTGCTGCTACAAGATACATCGCAGGTAGAAACGCTTTACAAACAGTTTATTGGAGATCATCACCCGATGCGAAATTTTTAAAAGTCTCCAAAACTTTTAATATGGGCAAACAAAGTCAAAAAGGAATTCCAGCACATATTAAACAAGAAATTAGAACCGCTTTTTAATTAATATAAATCTGTTTATATTTATTTTACTTTATTTATTAAGATTATTTGTTAGTAAATATTTTTTACGTTAATTGTTGTGGTAAATCATAGGTTAAATAAATCCCTCCGTTTTACTCGGTACAATATAAAGCATCTTTTTTTCTTTAAACTATTATATGTATTCCACATCCGCTTGATGATTTTTGTACCTTTTCCTTCATGTAGCGCTTAATTTGCTTAAAAATGCACTTTATTTCATTATGAATAACATTATTGATTATGCAGAGTTGAATTCAAGAAATCTTAGTACCGGAGCAACGAAAAATCAAGAACTTGCATTTGAGTCATCAAAACTAGATTAAATTTGCTTTATAATGTCGTTTATTTCAACACCATATCTTAATTAGTTCAAGAAGGAGGATCTTTTTAAGTTACCATTCATTTCTACAACTGTCAAAAGTGCATGGTTCGAGTTAAAACGGGGTTGCGTCAAAATTCGGGAAAATTAAGAATTTATATTGCGCACAATAAAACTAGATTAAATTTGCTTTAAAATGCGCTTTATTTCATTATGATATCTCAATTAGTTCTTGAGATACGATTATTTTAAATTGCCATTCACCCAAACATAACCTCTTTAATTAACGATTATGCAGAGTTGAATTCAAAAAATCTTATCACCGGAACTATGAAAAATTAAGAACTTACATTTGAGTCATCGAAATTAGATTAAATTTGCTTTATAATGTCGTTTATTTCAACATCATATCTGAATTAGTTCAAGAAGGAGGATTTTTTTAAGTTACCATTCATTTCTACAACTGTCAAAAGTGCACGGTTCGAGTTAAAACGTGGTTGCGTCAAAATTCGGGAAAATTAAGAATTTATATTGCGCACAATAAAACTAGATTAAATTTGCTTTAAAATGCGCTTTATCTCATTATTATATCTCAATTAGTTCTTGAGATACGATTATTTTAAATTGCCATTCACCCAAACATAACCTCTTTAATTAACGATTATGCAGAGTTGAATTCAAAAAATCTTATCACCGGAACTATGAAAAATTAAGAACTTACATTTGAGTCATCGAAATTAGATTAAATTTAGTTTATAATGTCGTTTATTTTAACACCATATCTTAATTAGTTTACGAAGGACGATTTTTTTAAGTTACCATTCATTTCTATAACTGTCAAAATGCACAGTTTGAGTTTAAACGTCGTTGCATCCAAATTCAGGAAGAATAAGAATTTATATTTCGCAAATTAAAACTAGATTAAATTTGCTTTAAAATGCACTTTATTTCATTATGATATCTCAATTAGTTCTCGAGATACGATTATTTTAAATTGACATTCACTCAAACATAACCTCTTTAATTATTGATTATGCAGAGTTGAATTCAAGAAATCTTAGCACCGGAACTATGAAAAATTAAGAACTTACATTTGAGTCATCGAAATTAGATTAAATTTAGTTTATAATGTCGTTTATTTCAACACCATATCTTAATTAGTTTACGAAGGACGATTTTTTTAAGTTACCATTCATTTCTATAACTGTCAAAATGCACAGTTTGAGTTAAAACGCCGTTGCATCCAAATACGGGCAGAATAAGAATTTATATTTCGCAAATTAAAACTAGATTAAATTAGCTTTAAAATGCACTTTACTTCATTATGATATCTCAATTAGTTCTCGAGATACGATTATTTTAAATTGACATTCACTCAAACATAACCTCTTTAATTACTTATTATGCAGAGTTGAATTCAAGAAATCTTAGCACCGGAACTATGAAAAATTAAGAACTTACATTTGAGTCATCGAAATTAGATTATATTTGGTTCATAATGTCGTTTATTTCAACACCATATCTTAATTAGTTTACGAAGGACGATTTTTTTAAGTTACCATTCATTTCTATAACTGTCAAAATGCACAGTTTGAGTTTAAACGTCGTTGCATCCAAATTCAGGAAGAATAAGAATTTATATTTCGCAAATTAAAACTAGATTAAATTTGCTTTAAAATGTACTTTATTTCATTATGATATCTCAATTAGTTCTCGAGATACGATTATTTTAAATTGACATTCACTCAAACATAACCTCTTTAATTAACGATTATGCAGAGTTGAATTCAAGAAATCTTAGCACCAGAACTACGAAAAATTAAGAACTTGCATTTGAGTCATCAAAACTAGATTAAATTTGCTTTATAATGTTGTTTATTTCAACACCATATCTTAATTAGTTCAAGAAGGAGGATTTTTTTAAGTTACCATTCATTTCTACAACTGTCAAAAGTGCACGGTTCGAGTTAAAACGGGGTTGCGTCAAAATTCGGGAAAATTAAGAATTTATATTGCGCACAATAAAACTAGATTAAATTTGTTTTAAAATGCACTTTATTTCATTATTATATCTCAATTAGTTCTCGAGATACGATTATTTTAAATTGCCATTCACTCAAACATAACCTCTTTAATTACTGATTATGCAGAGTTGAATTCAAAAAATCTTAGCACCGGAACTATGAAAAATTAAGAACTTACATTTGAGTCATCGAAATTAGATTAAATTTGGTTTATAATGTCGTTTATTTCAAGACCATATCTTAATTACTTTACGAAGGACGATTTTTTTAAGTTACCATTCATTTCTACAACTGTCAAAAGTGCACGGTTCGAGTTAAAACGTGGTTGCGTCAAAATTCGGGAAAATTAAAAATTTATATTGCGCACATTAAAACTAGATTAAATTTGCTTTAAAATGCACTTTATCTCATTATGATATCTCAATTAGTTCTAGAGATACGATTATTTTAAATTGCCATTCACTCAAACATAACCTCTTTAATTATTGATTATGCAGAGTTGAATTCAAGAAATCTTAGTACCGGAACTACGCAAAATCAAGAACTTGCATTTGAGTCATCAAAACTAGATTAAATTTGCTTTATAATGTCGTTTATTTCATCACCATATCTTAATTAGTTTACGAAGTATGATATTTTTAAATTGCTGTCATTTATTTAATATAAATCTGTTTATATTTATTTACTCTATTTATTAAGATTATTTGTTATTAATTATTTTTTACGTAAATTGTTGTGGTAAAGCACCCGTTAAATAAACATTTACAAATCCCTCAGTTTTATGCGGTAAACATAAAGCTTCTTTTTTATAATAATCCAAATAATCCTCTAAGCTGTTATATTCCACATCCGCTTGAATAACTTTTGTACCTTTTCCTTTATGAAGAGCCAATTGATAAATCCTTTCGTTGTACTTAACGGAGATTGTACAATAATGATTGTCACTTGGTCGAACCAAAAAAGTGCCGTTTTTGATATTGGGTTGCTGAAGGAGACGTTCAGAGCCTTTTCGGTCAGTATAACGATAAAACTCAGCTTTAGAATCTAAACAAAAAATGAAATGAATAAGAAATTAAATAAATGAAGTAGTTAGTACATTTTGAAACGAAACTTTGTTCAAAATTAAAGTCTTCTACATCATCTATCGGTATTTTGTTAATAGAACCGAAATCAACGAGCATTTTTGGTGGTCGAGGTAAAGTATTTTGGTTGTTTGGTACTGGTGGTAAAGGTACTTTTTGGATTTTTTTGGTTGGAGATGGTGGAGGAAGCGGCGGAAGAGGTCTTTGTTTAATTTGTGTCATTGAAACATCCATTTCTTTAACTACGTCTTTATCCTCATCTTCTCTCGCTTTTTCCTCATCGATATCCAAATATTCAGGAAGTTCTTCATCTTCATCTTCTTTATTAACCATCTTTATTTCTTCAACATCATTTATTGGTAATATTGGTAAAGGCTTTAAAGATTTCGTTGTAGTTGGGACGTTCAATTGAGTGTTATCATCTTTTTTTCCAACAATTTCAACACTTTTCCTATCTTTCTGCAAGCATTTCTCGAGTTCGTTAAAAACATTCATTGGTATTGATGATTTTTTTATTTTAAATGGTGATTTAATCAATGCTTCTTTTGGTAATTTCGGCTTAGGCATAATACTTGGTTTAGGAGGCATTTTCGGTGATGGTTCGTTTCTATAAATTTGGTCATCATCCTCTGAATCAAAACTATCGCTACTAACGATATCTTTTTCTTTTTGTTTTAAGGCGGTTTTAAATTTATTAATAATTGCATCATCCTCAATTAATTTTTCAACGTTTTTCTTAAAAATTTCCGCTTTATTGTGACGTTCTTCAGCATGGTTTTCGTAAATCTCATCATTTTCTTGCTCGAAATACTTGTCTGGGTGTAGTTTTAAATCGGTTAAAAAGTTTAAGAAGTTTTTCCTTTGTTGGGCTGTTTTCCTTGGAATCCATAATTGCATTTCAAACTCGGTTAAATTCTTCAAAAAATAACAAATTAATCTTAAATTAATCACTATAAAGTATACTCACCAATAACTTATTTCCATCGTACACCTTTGCTGCTATGATATCACAAAACTCATCAAACCCATTCTGTAATTAAAGAAAACGAAATGATTTATTTCATTTTAACCATTTTATTTTATGATAATAAACCTTTTTTAAAAAATTAATTAGTTCATCGTTATTGAACGATCGTAATTCGTTTATAAATTGGTTCATAATACGAATATAAATTTTCTTTTGATACTGAAACGTTCCAACAGGAAAGAAGAAATAAAAGTTTCGCTCTGCTTTATCTAATCAGTTTCCGTGCGTAGTATTATGGGAAAAGGAGGAAAACCCCGTTTATATGATATAAATACGCGAGTTTATTCAGTTATCAATTTCCACGAATAATTTATGAATAATTTAATAATAATTAATTCATCACTCACAATTCAAATTTATCAATTTTCCCTCCAAAATGTCAACTTTAATATTCATTCTTATTTATTGCAAAAATCGATTACATTCGTTTTAAAACCATAAACTAATTAATTTAGAATCAAAAACTTAATAAATTAGAAATAAATTTAAAAAATTGTTATTGATTAAAATTGTAATGTCAAAATCAGCTGATCACGTATACTTGACATTTGACATAATAATAACGATCCAAGTTTTTTGCGTTTTTAGCAATTCTTCGTCAAAAAACATGATTACATAGGCGATTAAATCGTTTTATTCATTAAAATGAATCTACATCAAATTGTAAGCGGTGCGTGTAACGCTGGGGATAAATGTTTCGCCGTTGGAAGCGTCGAAGGTGTTCCCTTCACGGTAATCGCTTTATTTTTCACTTTACTTTAATAACATTTAATTTAACACATCTTTTTAGGCATACGCGGCTGGTTGTAACATCGTTATCCTTGCATCGACGTTTGAAAGGGTTCAAATTATACCTGGGGCAGTTCACGATTACATTCGAATTAGTTCGATTGATTGTTCTTGCGACACGGGAAAAATTGCTGCTGCTTATGATACTACCGTCTGTATTTACGAACCTACACCTTTAATTAATAGTAACTTAACGCATGGGTTGGATTATCGATGGGTTCAAACGGGTGCTTTAACCACTGATTCTCCCGTACGTGCTCTTAGTTGGAATTTGGAAGGGACTCGATTGTTAACGGCTGGCAGTCTTGTGCAATTATGGCATTTGATGTCTCAACCGGTCGAACTTCCTGAACCTCAAGTTAAATTTACTTTGGGTGGAGGGGAAACTAATCCGGATGGGGGTGATGATCGTGATAGGCAACCTGGTAAATTTGAAATAAATTATTTTATTTGAAATCTCAAAAAGAATTAAAATAAGCTAAAAATCGACGATTTTTTTTAATCAATGTGAAATGACACAAAAAACTTGTGTAGAACATATCAAAGAATCACATTAAAGTTTTGATGATAAAAAAATCAAAAATTAAGGTTGGTATTAATATTTAAAAATTAATTTGCTATCTTCATTGTGGCTAACTTTGGGTTTAATGGTTTTTATTCTATCTTTTATGTTTTTTGAGATAAATAAAATTAAGAATACATCATCAAAGAACACCATGAAGGTGTTCATTTCTCTGTTATATGATAACTAACTTCAGGTTTAAAATGTCAACCTCAATTTTGACATATTTGTAATCTTCATTAAAAATCCTTTTCCGTCGACTGTGTATTTATACGATTTATAAATGTATACAAAATCATTCATTAATGACACCTATTAATAAATGATTTTCTATTAATAAACGATTTTAAGAAAGTCCGACCCAACTAATATAGTAGTCAATAAAAAAAAAATAATAAACGTCGCGCCATCTCGCGTTTTTTTTGGATATTTTGTTTTCTAATACTAACAGAAACAGACCGCCTGTAATACCGACCCAACCGACCACTATATCTATTGGGTAAGACTACAATAAGTTTTGACTTTTGACACATTAAGAGTGAGGTTTTTATTTTGCCAGTGATAGAATTGGAAAAATATTGTAAGTAACTCGTATATTAAAATGCGATTAATTATCTCAATAATTAACGCGTTCGTTAAAATATCTCGATAATTAATCGCCTTCATTAATAGACTTGTTGGTTAAATAACTATTAAAATGAGTGCAAACACGACATATTTATCTTCAATATTAATGACGTCAACTTCCGGTTAGGAATGTCAACGTCAATTTTGACATATTTATAATCGCCGTGAAAAAAATGCTTTAAAATCAGCCCAAACATGATACGTTTAATTCCAATATTTCTCGAGATATAAGCAACTTCCGGTTTAAAATGTCAATATCATTTTGATATATTCTTAATTTTTATAAAAGTCTAAAAATTTGTCACAAAAACAAAAATTTAATAAAAAATCAAAAATTAAGGTTGGTATTAATATTTAAAAATTAGTTGCTAACTTCGCGTTTAATGTTTTTTATTCTAACTTTTTTGGTTTTTTGAGATAAGTGCGTCATGTTTGGACTCATTTTAAAGGTTATTTTACGAAGATTACGAATATAACAATAAAATTAGACCTAGAATCATTTGGGTTTAGCCGTCTTGAGACGTGGTGCTAAATCCTAATGTTTCTAGTTCTAGGTCTAGTGAAAAAACTAGAAAGTATGGGGTTTAATGTAATTTACAACTTACATTCACCCTCTTCTCCATGCCCAACCTGACATTTGTGAAATTCGCACTGCTTTAATGCTAATTAACCTAAGTCAAAGTGGAATTTCTACACAAAACTCTGAAATTAATCAATAAATTAGGTGGATACCCTATCCCCCTCTAAAAAGATGTTGCACCTGGGTGACAAAGAATCGAGTGTTGTAGAAGCAATTTTTAAATCTGTAATGGAAGGGACACAGAAAGATATCACTCAACTGAAGAATAGTTTCAGTAAATAGTTTTCAGTTAGTAGTATTGTAATCTCGAAGCACTTAGTACTGTTTTGGCAGCAGTATATAGTCTTCTGAAAGCATTAAATTGTCTTTGCCAACAATATCTAGCTTTCTCCAAGCAATTAGTAGTCTTTCCAACAATATTTAGCATTCTGAAAGTAGTTAATAGTCTTTTGAAAACAGTATCTTGTTTTTCTAAGCAGATAATAGTTTCTCCCAGCAGTATTTAGTCTTCTCCAAGCAGGTTGTAATCTTTTCTAGTAGTATATAGCGCGCTGAAAGCAGTAAGTAGTCTTATGGAAGCAGTATCTCGTCTTTCCAATCAGTTTGTAGTTTGCTAGCACTATCTACTCTTCTCCAAGCAGATTGTAATCTTTTTCACCAGTATTCCACCATTTTGGAAGTAGTAGGTACCTTTTTTTTTTTGAGATCATATCTCTTCTTTCCAAGTAGTTATTAGTCGTTTCCAGTAGTATTTAGCATTCTGGCAGCATTAGGTATCTTTTTAGGAAGCATATCTCTTCTTTCCAAGCAACTATTAGTCTTTTCCAGTAGTATCTAACATTCTGGAAACGGTAGGTAGCTTTTTGGAAAGCATATCTCTTTTCCAAACAATTATTAAAGTCTTTTTCTGCAGTATCTAGCATTTTAGAAGCATTAGGTGACTTTTTGAGATAGTATTTCCTCTTTCCAAGTAATTTTTAGTCTTTTACTAGCAGTATTTAATCTTCTGATAGCAATAATTAGTCTTTTGCTAACAGTATCTAGCATTTAAGAACCAATAAGTTAAAAAGGGGGTTAGGACATCAAGTATACTAGATTTAAGGTTATCTTTAGTTTATAGATGGTAAACAACGACATTTTAGTCGTTGTGCGTCGAAAACCTAAGAAACAACCGTATTTCAACCGAAAATATGCGTTTTAGGGCCGGTTGTACCACCTCCCGATAAATTATCTAACGGATAATTACCATGGATACAGCGGTTTTTAGCGCTCTCATTGGCTAAGGTCCATTACTACCATCTTTTAGTTAAATTTATCTTATAGATAAACCCATCTACTAGCCAATCAGAGCGCGTAAAATAGCCGTAACCACGGTAATAATCCCTTAGATAGCTTAACCAGAAGATGGTAGTAACGAGCCTAAGGTTCATTACTACCATCTTTTAGTTAAATTTATCTTATAGATAAACCCATCTAGTAGCCAATCAGAGCGCGTAAAATAGCTGTAACCGTGGTAATAATCCCTTAGATAGCTTAACCAGAAGATGGTAGTAACGAGCCTAAGGCTTACTACCATCTTCTGGTTAAGCTATCTAAGGGATTATTACCACGGTTTTCCGCGCTCTGATTGGCTAGTAGATGGATTTGTCCATAAGATAAATTTAACTAAAAGATGGTAGTAATGGACCTAAGTGCGCCAATTTATCTATCGGATAAATTTATCGGGAGTTGGTACAACCGGCCCTTAAACAAATGTGCTGCGAAAATATTTGTATGGTTCGGTGACGTCACAAAAGATGACGTCACGTCGAAACTTTAAAGTGATTTTTCCGCAGTTTTACACTTTTCCGCACTTTTTTTTATTTGTAACGGCTTACTTGAGTGATTTTCCGTCGATTAAAAAAAAATTTTAATCATGATAATTCTCGAATTATACCAAAATAATTTATATTTTTTTATTAGAAGCTTTATGGCAGTGTGTTTGGAAAGCGGCAACAGCAACTCCAGTTCAACACTTAGCTTTTAGTCCTGATGGGACTCTTTTCGCTACATCCGGTGAAAATGATCGATTGGTTAAGATTTGGTATGAAAATAAACACAGTAAGCTCTCCAGGTCGTTTTGTATAAATAAGATATTAATTTAAAATTTTGTAGTATTTTTCACGAAAAATACGGAAGTCCCGAGTGAATTAGAATATGGATTTGTATACATCGCTCATCCAAGAACTGTTACACATTTATCTTGGAGAACAACAAGCAAATATATGCCAAAGTAATTTATTTAAAATATTTTAATTAAATAAATTTGATTTTAATTTTTTTTTTTTAGGGGGGCGGTTTCTAATATGCTTGTAACTTCGTGTAAAGATAACATTTGTCGATTATGGGTTGAAACGGTTCTTCCTGAAGATGGTTTGGTAAATCTTTCTCAGTTGGATCCTCAAGCTCACCATCCAAAATACAGAACACATCGGCATAAACACAGATTTATGCAACGTTTAAAACATATGAAGTAAAAAAAACTTTTAATTTTAATGATCAAAATTAATTCGAAATTTTTAGAACTTGTTTCCATATTAGAAGACATGCGAAACATTCCGCTCAAGGTGCTTTTGGGCCATCTCCACCAATTCCAACGTTACCATCAACATACAGCGTTCATGATTTCCATTCTTATGGTTATCATGGTACAGGTAATTTAGTAATTCATTTAATAATCGAGTAATTTAGTAGGGATTGGTTAATAAAAAGCTGCAAGATATGCCAAAAAATGTGGTGTGTTAATTTTAGGTGTGACTCCAGGTCTTCATTTCCACCTGGCGGCTTCCGTTAACGCTGAAACCGACATACCTTTGGTTCCGCGAATGTCTTATTGTAGTCCAAGACCGGCTTTCGTTCTTCATTGGTTGGATAATAAAGAGATGCATTTCACCATGCAAGCCGAATCACTTATTGAGGAATTAACAAGGTTGGTATTATCGAATTTGATTTAAATTATTTCAAAAAGTATAAAATTTTCAGTATTGATAAAACTTCCCCTCAAAAGTAAGTTTTTTTTGGGTGTGATGTTTTATTTAATGTTTTGAATTTTTTTAAAATTTTATTTAAACAATCTCAACATACATTGTGATATGTTACATCATGGTTGAGTTTATATTTACATTAATATAACGCCTAAATTCATTAAGGAAACAAAGTAACTTTTTAAAGGAATCTAATTTAAACTTAATTTACAATAAATCTTCAACGAAAGCTATATTATGAATAACACAATATAAAGTTCTCTTTGTTGGATCTTGGAAAGTATGAAATTCAAGTTTTTTTTCTATATAATACTTAGTTAAAGTTCTATAATCGTTTATAGACGTAAGGTTGATTTTTAGTGAATTATTTTTGACCATAATTGTAAATTTTGTAGTGGTTAACGCTTTGATATCATTGATAATTTCTTTATAGTTTGATGTGTTATGTAGAAAGATAAGAGGTACTTTAGGCCCTTTTTGGGAATTATTTTCCAAAGAGTTGTCATTAATATCATCACTGTTGTCTTCACCAAGGTTTGTAAAGCGTATTGTACCAGGTTGGCCAGACTCAACCTTTTCAACGTACGAAAATATTCCCCCCCTTAGATGCCCTCATCGTGACGTCACCAGATCCAGCCGCAATACACCTGTTTCAAAACACCATTTCGGTTATTTTATATCATAAAATAGTTTTTTTTTGTTTATTACTGATTTTTATTGTTGAAAATTTATAATTAGTGTTAAGAAACTTTTTAATAATTTCAATACCAAGGTAATTATTTACAGATAAGTTATGATTTATTATAACCCCGCATCAAAATTTGTAATTTTAGTTTCATGTGCAATTAAAAATTGTCGTTCGAATTATGTTGTAACAACAGTTATTGGTTTAAATATATCGTTTTTTAACATACCCAAAGAGGAAGACGTTCGTAAACTATGGCTGATGAAATGTAAAGAGGAAGTTAATGTTACAACAGCAAGGGTCTGTTCATTACATTTTCGTCCTGAAGATTTTGAACGCGACCTACGTGCGGATCTGTTGCAATTGAAACGTAGGCGGCTTCTAAAGAAGACAGCTATACCCACCTTAAACTTGGGAGCATCTCAAGACGACGTTTCAAATATCTGCGAATACCTTGATCCATCTACGTCATTGTTAAATATTTCAAAAGAACCATTATCAAAGGGAAATGATGTAAACTGTTTATTAAAATCCAGTGTAGCATGTCAAACTGAAGATATGATAACAACTGATGACACAATAAATGAATTGAAACAAAAAATATGTGAATTAGCAGAGAAAAATGATGTTTTGGAAAGAAAGTTACGTAGGAAAAATGTTCTCATAAAAACAATTACGCGTCAAAACTGTTTTTTAAATGGAAAAGTACAACGTCTTATGAAACATGTTACACAATTTAATCAGGAAGTTCAGTCGTCGTGGCCGGGTGCAAAGTTTATTTTTACAGATGCTTCGGTGACGGGGGATCCAACCAAACGAGTCCATTTTGGAGTATATGCGCCCGACTTGGAGTTGTCCCATTCCGGAAAGCTGTCGGATCATGTTAACATATTTGTGGCAGAATTGTTTGCTGTATGGTGGGCGATGGACTATGTAAAGACAAACAGGGTGTCACCAGTGGTGATATTCACGGATTCGTTGAGTGTGATCCGTGCATTAGAGGTGGCCATGGGAAGAAAGACGAAGGTACATTATCTGGTGAACAAAGTTAAAGAGCTTAGCTGGCAGTGTACGGTGGAAGAACTGAAGATTGAGTTGGCTTGGATTCCTGGCCATGTGGGAATTGTTGGCAATGAGACGGCGGATGGTCTGGCAGCGAGTGACACTGGTCCATTGTATCAGATACGCAAGGACGTTGGTGACATGGTCTACGAACTCAAGAGGGATGTATTGGATTCATGGCAGCGGATTTGGGATGATAGTAGCAGATTCAGGGGCAGAGCCTTGTGGCTGATTAAGGGGGATGTCAGAGAGGGGGCATGGTATAAGCAATTACGTGCAGAATCTAAACACATGATTTCTACAATTAATCGCATGAGAGTAGGACATGGCATGTTTCCTGCACATCTGTACAGGATTGGCATGGCGGATTCTCCAAACTGCAGTTGTGGAGAATTTTGTGATCTTAACCACATCATTTTGGCATGTGAAACGTATGAGTTGGACAGAAGTAGAATGTTTGTTAAGCTGAGAAGGGAGGGCATTTTTCCTCCATATAATGTTAGTATGCTTTTGGCAACCAATAACGCTAGAGTTTTGAGAATGCTTTTTTATTTTTTGTGCAAGATAGGAATTTTTGTTTGATTTTATTTTATTTTAATGCAGGGATCACTGTTCGGTAGATGTTCATCCTTTCGAGGGGTTGACCCGGGGATGTACATCTGTCGCCGTTCGGTGGGTTATAGGCATAACGGTGGGTTATAGGTGCTTAAGCAAGTAAAAGTGGCTTGGTGGGTTAAGGTAGTAAGGAAGGATCATTCCCCCCATCCGGTAGTTCTGTCTGTTTAAGTTGTCTCTGATCTTTGAAACTTTATCCCCCCACAGGGCTACCTAATGTGAGGATAAACTAATACAACAAAAAAGAAAAAACAAAACAAAATTGTGACTGGTGGTAAAAGGGCTATATAAGCCCAGACACCAAGTGGATACCCCTGGTTTTAAGAAGAAGAAGAAGAAGAAGAAACATGTTACACAAAAGGATTCTAAAGAAATAAACAACATTTAAAAAAATAAAATACAACATATATTTACACCAAAGCAAGTAGAAAAAGTTATCCATAACAAACGGATTGTAAAATGGGGTGAAGAATCAGTCTATCAGTATTTACTGATTCATTTAAATTATCCCCTACCAGGTTAATTTATTATTTTTACTTGTTTACTTTTATTCAATAATTTTATTGATGTCAATTTATTTTATTTATGTTAGGTATATCAACGCTAAAATCTTGGGCTTCAAAAATTGATATGAGACAGGGTATTTTACATCACATGCTACTTTTTCTATCTGTGGCTGGAAGAGGGTACAGTGATCAAGAAAGGCTTGTTGTTTTGTCATTTGACGAAATGAAAGTTGCAGAACTGTATGAGTATGATAGGAAATATGATCAAATTATTGGTCCGCATTCACAAATGCAGGTTGTGAACGCCAGGGGACTGTTTGGATCTTCGAAGCAGCCAATTTTTGCCGGTTTTGATACAAGAATGATTGGTACTTTGTTATTAACATTAATTAATAAACTGCACGATATTGGTTTTGAGGTGATTGCATGTGTGTCTGATTGTGGACCCTCAAATCTTGGTTTGTGGAGAGAGTTGGGTATTACACACGAATCCTCATATATAGTATATATCCAACAACTACAAAAAAGGAATTGGTTGATAGATTCAGAATTTACAATAAATGACATTACAATAAACAAAACATACTTAGAAAAACGTATAAACGAATGCAACACAGAAGTTCGTAGTTGTTTTAAATTAACAATAGATCACATCACTTGTGAAGGCGCTAGAAGGCAGAATGTCAAGTTAGCATCGCAGCTCTTATCGCATACCACAGCTACAGCATTAATTCATTATTACTCTAATCAACAAGCATCTGCGCTTAGCAACTTCATTAGTCTTGTAAACAATTGGTTCGATATTATGAATTCTTATATTCCCGACCATAGCATTTTGTTGAAATGTGGCTATGGTAAACACCTAAATTTACAAAATGAGATTTTAAATGAAATGTACGACACAATTGGCAAAATGAAATGTAAGAATAAAAGATCACTCCAAACATTTCAAAAAGGTGTGCTAATGTCCATTAATTCTTTAAAAGCCCTATATGAAGATTTAAAAACCGATTATGGTATTGAATATCTTTTAACCCATAGACTTAATCAAGACGTGTTAGAAAATCTTTTTTCTCAACTTCGCACCAGAGGTGGATTAAATGATCATCCTACACCACTAAGCGCACTTCAAAAGTTGCGAATCATTGTATTAGGAAAGTCAGCTTTGCTGGGTCGGAACGCAAACACCAACGATCAGAAGCAAGATGATTTCATTGTTGGAAAAATATTACGCAATGTGAACATCATATTTGAAAACCCGGTATCATCTAATACTTCGTCTTTAAGTGATAGTAACCACCAAACGGAAGACTGTGACAAAAATGACAATTCGACTACAATTAAATCTGAAGAGGATGGTCTGGTGTATTTAGGAGGATGGATTGTAAAAAAACTTAAGCTTTCGCATCCGGAATTGGGCAATTATTCACATCAACGGAAATGTGATCATAATTATTGCGCACCATCATGGTTAGAAAGGTTATCATTTGGGGGTCTTTCGATTCCTTCTAATGACTTCAAAAACCTATTATTTGACATGGAATTTGAGTTTAAGAAAGTTATGCCTGCGAATGAGATAAAGCACGACCCTAAAATTTTAAGAAAATTATTTAAGCAAATTTCATTAAAATTTTATTAACAATACCATCATGTTCTACGTCTTTTTATTCGACAGCGATTATTTATTCGAATTAACTTTTTAAATGAAAAGTATGAATCATTAAAAAAATCTAATGTGTTTAAAAGAAAAATCAATAAAATTAAACAAATGTTGAATAAAAAATAAAACTTAGACCAAAATAAAGACTTAACTTTTTGTTCTGTTTATATTAAAAAAGGTTCGTCGTCTACTCCGACTCGGATCTCCAGATCTGGTGACGTCATCCCCCCCTTCACTCTTCAAATCGAGTTTTTCCATATCTGGCCAACCTGGTACAATACGCTTTATAAACCTTGGTCTTCACTAGCAAGAACTTGGACCTATTTTGCTAATTTGACAGAATAATTATTTGAAACGTCAAAATTTCTAAAAACGTCAATTTCATTTAATTTTTTTTAGGACTTTCTAAAGGTTTAACATTAAAAAAGCGTAAACAAATTCCTTTTTCGTATGATTTAATCATAAATTAATTAATTTTCGAAAAAAAAAAGATGATGTTTCATAAAATTAATATTTAATTTTGACAAATTGTTGTGAAGTTGGTTACAGTTGGTAACATTGAATTTGTGTCACATTGACGTTTAAATTTTATTCAAAAATTAATTTAATTTATTTCTTTCGATGATTTATTATTTTTGTTAGATTAATAATATATGAAATTGTAAACACGGTTTAATTCTTGTTTGGAACTCACTTTGACCGTCTGCATTCAACTAAAATTTTTTTTTATTACATAACTATTAAAAAAAATAATTTGGTGTAGGTATACGATTTTTGATTATATCTTATTAAATGTTTATAGGCGTTTTTGTGAAAATCCCGATGCGGAATGTGTCTCAGAAGAACCTCTTATGGAATCAGGTGGACACGATGGTTTAGATGTTCGCATAGAAACCCTCCTTCGAGATTGGCACCACAGCCCCGATTTATTATTTAGTATACACCCCGTTGATGGTAGCTTTTTAATTTGGGTGGTTGAGTGGCTTGATGAGTACCATCCCGGATCATTTAGACAAGCTCAAGTTTCGTTTTCAACCCGAATCCCTTCCGCGTTCCCCCTTGGGGATAGTTTGAGCATGTCGACAACTGTTAGCCTTTATAGTACAGCTCATTTTATAAAACACGTCGTTAAAAATGCTTTGAGGGATTATTCAGGGTTGAGTATAGTTAGGGAGGAGGATGAAACGAATCCTGGCGATGAAACGAGTATTCCAAAACCGGAGGAGGATAGTAAAGAAACGTCCCCCGTGGTTTATTTAGTAACTAAACACGATAATGGGACGTTGAATTTGTGGCAATTAACTTTTGCCGATAAAAGTAAATACACTCAAGTTTTGAGTATTGGTCATAATAGTAGAGCTTCAGGACATCGATTTCGTGTTAACGATATTACATGCCACCCTGTACTCCCATTATTATTAACTACGAGTCATCATAACATCGTTGAACAAAATAAAACAACTTCGAAAGGAAATATCGGTTTTTGTAGTGAGTTGATTTTATGGAAAGTTGATGCTGTGGGGCCTTTATCGAAATCGGGGGGAATTTGTGAGTTGGCTAGGATATCTTCCCCGGAACCTTCAGCTTTTAGTAACGTTGCATGGATTCCAACTTTACTACCGAGCAGTACTTTAGGAAATTTATCTAATTCGCCCAGCGCTTGTTTTGTGGCTTCCGACGGGCAATGTTTAAGAGTTTATCAAGCCGTTATCGACGCAAGGACTTTACTCGCTGATATTTCCTTCAAAGAATCGAGAATGAATAATATCAATGGATCTGAATCAACAGAAACTTCATCAACGAACGAAGAAAGTTTGTTAGAAAAAATTAACATCGTTTCTCAACAAAGTACTTCAAGACCGGGGTGCATAATCCAATTGGAAACTATTTCACCGGCTATTGAGTGGCAAAACACCACGTTTTTACACGTTTATCAAGAACAATTAATAACGGGGCAAAGAGCAGCTAAAGATATCCCTTCAAACGATGCTATGGTTGATTTGCAACATAATATCGTGTTTGAACAACCTTTCTTTATCGTTTTATTAGACTGTACAGATCAAAACACGATCATCCATACTTGGAAATTAACGATTTCTTCGAACGAACCTGAATTATCCTTAACGGGAAGTCAAATGTACGTTCCAGATTGTAATTTAGTACAAGACGAAAATGATTTATCCCGCCGAAACAGCATCGAGTCTTTACATCTAAAACAAGCTAAAGTTAGTCCTCATATAAGCATAACAACCAAACGGGAAATAAAACAAGTTTTAAAGCTACCGGATGGTGTTGAAATAATTCATGCAGCCCCAGCAGCGGGTCATTTAAGCTCGGCTTCGATTTATCCAGCTTGTTTGGCTCCTTATTGTTTTGCGACTGCTTGTAGCGATGGAATGATCCGATTTTGGACGGTTTCTGAGGCGGTTAATCAAGTGAGAGAGATGAGGGATTATATGTTGGAGGAGGATGGGGATATTGTTAATAACGGGAAAGTTTGGTGCGAATGGAATATGGTTAAAGAATCTGCGATTGATATTGATGGGCAAGTTTTAAATATAAGCGTTGCTTATTCGGGGAGATTAGCTTGCGCTTATAAATACGGGCGAAGTTTTACACGTCCGAATAAAGATCAAGACCACGATTCGAGATACATTAATTTATGCGTTGCGATTTATGAATGCGAATCAACCGGGGGAACCGAGTGGATTTTAGAGGATGTTATTCACTTAAAAAACATTCATTTACCAAGGATTAGTATCGATAAACACCTTGATTTGCGCTATTTATACGACCACAAAACCTTGCAAAAGAAGCAAAGAATTAACGAGGTTCTACATACATTTTCGAACGATGAGCGCCAAAATTTAGCGACCGAACCCAACATAAAACCCACGTTATTAGCAGTCCCAAGTTTTAGCACGCTCCAATCTTTAAGAAAAAGCATAACGGAAATGGGCAACATTTGCCCGTTAACCCAAAAACACATCGTCCAATTAGATTGGGTCTCGAACGAAGATGGTTCTCATATATTAACGGTTGCTTGTGGAAGCAAAATCATGTTATACACTCCTTTATCGTCCGATTTAGCCCAAGCTAACGTAAAAGCAATGAAAGAATCGATAACAACAAATCGTCCCATATTAAGAAAGGCGAGTTCTTTAGCTCAACCCCTTTTTGTGGACGATTTTAAATGGATGACGTTACGAAAAATCGAACTTCAAACGGCGGATGGTCTCCCCCCGCTTCCAATGCAAATATCTTGGGTGCGAGATGGAATTTTGGTCGTTGGAATGGATTCGGAGATGCATGTTTATTCCCAATGGAAACCTCAAAATTCAAATCAACAGATAACCTCGAACGAAACCGAATTGAAGAATGCTAGAGATGTCGATTTTAGAACGTTAACTCAAGAGAATCAGCGGAAATTAGCCGCGGTTCCAACTTTGGGTCGAATTAGCTCGGTGAATCTTCAATTATTAGATCGAAAACGCATCGCTGCTAAAGATAGCACGATTGATTATATGCCCGATTATGGGTTGTTTGAAGCTTCGAGGATAGCATGCCCAGTTTTACCTCAATATCACCCAAAACAATTAATGGAGTTGTTAAATTCCGGGAAAATCCGATGGGTTAAAGCGATTTTATCTCATTTGGTGAGGTGTATTGGAGGAAATATGGACTCAGTTGAAGATATTCAAGGATGGGCTAGAACTAGGACTTTATCGGTGAGTTATCCAGCGGGAAGTCCCGAGCATAGGGCGAGTATTGGAGAAATAGTTTTGGACTATAAAGAAATCGATAGTATCCCACCCGTTCCTTTATGGACTTTATTAGCCGCCGATAAAGAACAACCATTAACCCAAGAAGAAAAAAAAGATTACAACGAATTATTCGACACAACCTTATCAATGGATGAACCTTTAGATATTTCGTTAGAAGACCAAGACACAACGCGGTTGGAAAGACGCCCATCCGAACGTAATTTAGGGGTGGGTCATTTCACCCCGCGTCAAGGTCGGATTCTTTCAAGATTATTAACACACACTCACCTCCCAGGGCTTTCAAGTCTCGATCAAATGCATCTTTTAGCCCTCGCGGATACAGTTTCAACTTGCAACACAGATTTAGCGGAAAGATTCGCCATAGATGCTGCGAAATCAGCTATGGCGAAAGAAAACATAATTGGGCAATCAGAAAATGTGATTACTGATTCGTTAGATGATTGCGGTTTAAGATTTTTGCTCGCAATGAAACATTATAATTATCTGTTGAGGTGTTTACCTTTAGCGCAACGTGCACAATTTCAAAAACAAGGTGTTGGAACTAATAATTTAGCTTGGGCTTATCACTCCGAGAGTCAAGAGGAGTTGTTGAATTTGATTCCAAGTTATGCGAAGGGCGAACCAACTTGGCCAATTCTTCGGGAGTTAGGAGTTGGGTGGTGGGTTAGAAATATTAATTTATTAAGACAATGTATGCAAGTTTTAGCGAAAGCTTCTTACCAAAGTAAACAAGATCCCATGGATGCCGCCTTGTATTATTTAGCTATGAATAAGAAAAGTCTTTTATGGGGGCTTTATCGCTCAAAGAAAGACCAAAAAATGACGCAGTTTTTCGCGAATAACTTCACGGAGGATCGCTGGAGGAAAGCTGCCTTAAAAAATGCGTATGCTTTGTTAGGGAAGCAAAGATTTGAGCATGCCGCTGGGTTCTTTTTACTCGCCGGTAGTTTAAAGGATGCCGTTGAAGTCTGTTTATACAAACTCCAAGATATTCAATTAGCCATAATCATAATTCGCCTCTACGAAAGTGATGGCACCTCATTAAAAAAACTCCTTTACCAAGAAATTTTAGGATGCGACACCGAAGGTAACAACCAAGACATGTCAAAAGCCCACCCAGATCCTTTCCTACGCTCAATGGCTTTATGGACCTTAAAAGAACACCAAAACGCTTTAAGCACGCTATTAGTTGGAAACGCGGGAAATCAACACCCCGCTCACGAAGACGACGAACGCCGAGAATGCAAAGAAACCGACCCAAACGTTTTTAATTTCTACGTTTATTTAAGGACGCACCCCCTCCTTGTTATGCAACACAAAGCTAAATCGGGACAAAAAAAAGTTTGGTTACCCGGAGGGAAACAAGTTGTGGTTGAAGAAACGATAACCCCGTTAGAAAGACAATTATATTTTACAACAGCTCATGGTCATTTTAGAGCTGGATGCCCCGCTTTAGCTCTTGAGGTCCTCTCAAAATTACCTTACGTAGTTACCGATTACACAAAACAAACTCCCGTGACTTCACCAAAAGATAAAACAGATAATGAAATCTCAACTGGAATTTTATCTTGGGATTCTAAACCGCAATTATCTCAAAAAACAACCGATTTTGATTGGGGAGGAACCTCCGATTTTAGCACAAAAACCGATGATTTAGTTTTGGAATGGGATGAACCCAATGAAGAGGATTCCGACGATTCAGACGGAGGAATCAGCATGAACATAGGCAAGAATAAAAACGATGAAGAGGAAGATGATAACGGCGAAGATGGTGATGAACAAATTGATATTATGGCGCAACAATTAAAGTTTGTGGCTTGTTTGAAAATTTTAATGGAAGAATTATCTACTTTAGCAACCGGATTCGAAGTCGATGGTGAATTTTTTTTTATTAATTAAAATTAAATTAATTCAAATTGAATTGAAATTTAAGGTGGTCAACTCCGCTATCAACTTTATATTTGGTTGGAGAAGGAAGTGGAAGCTTTGCGTGAATTGTGTAATTACGCGCCGACTGAAGTGATCGAAACGACTGATTTGGATCAACTCCCTGAAGTTGATACCGTTGAAACCAAAGAGCGACCTACTTTGCATGAAATTCTCGTTCAGGAGAAGTTAGATTTTGAGGCGAAAGTTCAACGAGCTGCTAAAAGAAGAAAATGGCTCAAATGTATTTTTATTAATTTATTTTAATTACAGTAATACCTCGATATAATGGACAAAATATTTTTAAGTCATACTATTAGTATTATCTATTTAATACATCAGTATATTTAAATATCAAAGATAGAATCCAACTCGGGTTATTCCGCAAGTTGCTCTATTTTATTGTCATAGATAAATTCAGGGACGGCAGTTTGGTAGTATATCCCTTGAAGTGGCTAAACCCGAATGTTTCTAGTGGTAGTGTTAGTTCTATTTTAGCTTGTTATACAGGGTTGCTGATATACAGGTGTCTCAGCGAGACCGGTCATTAGACGTTTCTGGGGTTCTGGCCAAACAAAAAATTTGAGAATGCAGACTTAAGTATTATCAATTACGTTCTCTTCATCTAAAATATTTTCAGATTTCTAGCACTTCCGGTTATACCGGAAGTCGCCACCTACTTTATTTTTTTAAATGGAACACCCTGTATATTTGTATATATTTGGATTTGTCTGTTTTGAAGGTTTATAAATAACTTTACTTTTTGCAATTTGATTCGGCCGTTCTCGAGTTATTCGATTTTTTCTAGAAAAATCTGCTCCAGCGGACATTTGTTAAAAAAATCATAAAACACTCAATTTTTGAGATATCAATTTAGGATTCAGAACATGCTTAAACAACATGATGGAGTATGTTTTGGTGCCGAGAACGGCTGTCTAGATCGTTTGGTCACCTTACTGGCACACTAGGCTAAATATCCATATGATATGTGTGCATTTTTCAAAAAACCCTAATTATCTCCCAAACTATTAATATTAGGTATGGGACATATCGGATATAAAAGATGTAGAATGAGACACCGAAGACGACTAAGAAAGAAAATATGGGGGGTGCCATTTAAAAAAATGAAGTTATGGTACTTCCAAATTTTGAAAAGTTAACGTGCCATAGTAAAGTGACTAAGGGCCGGTTTTATAAAAGTAGACGTTGACCGCCGGTTATCAAACCTCCGGTTGAGCAGTTAACCGAAGGTTGAACATCGATACGTTTTATGACAGGATTTTAACCTCCGGTTTATTAGCTTGCCGTCAACCGGCCGCGGTCAATGTTGGCTGCACTGCGCGCCAGCTCTCAACCAATGAAATGCGTGCATTCGAAAACGTAAAGACACACGTGTTTACGTTAACCTAACCTAATTTTCGACCATAGAAAAATAAATATTAATATATATATATAGAAGCATTACTCCCCACGAATTTTGGCGTAATGTCATCAATAGAACGACATAGTTTTAAAGTTCCCGCTTGACTTTCAAAATGGCCAAAATGTCGGCAAACTGCGGTACTTTGTAAATCTAGGGACTTTAAGCAATTTGTGCTTACAGTGCCATCTAGCCGTCCGTGGTACCCATTAAATATCTGTCTTTTTTTATACGTATTGAGTTAACACACCGTGCTTTCGACGTAGATTATTTTGCGAGCGATTATTTTATTATTTTTTTTATTTTATTTTTTATTTTATTAATTTTTTTTTTTTGCGATGTTTTATATAAAGTAATTCTCTTTATATAATTAAAAACAAATTGGATTTTGTAAAAATTTTATTTTTTATTAAGTTGTTTTTTAAATAATTCTATTCTTATACGCCCAGTTGATGACAACTTTCATGACAGATCATGACAACTTTGTGAAGTTCTGCGCATGTGCGTATATCAACCTTCCGTCAAACTCGACTTTTACCTGCGGTTGGGATAACTTCCCTTTAATCGGAACTTTATTACTCAACCGTAGGTCGTACAACGCAAAATAACGGTTAACCAGGGATTGACAGTGAACCTACTGTCAACCGTACATTATAAAACCGGCCCTAAACGTTCTAGACAGCAGTTCTCGGCACCAAAACATACTCCATCATGTTGCTTAAGCATGTTCTCAATCCTAAATTGATATCCCAAAAATCGAGTGTTCTCTGATTTTTTGAACAAATGTCTGCTGGAGCAGATTTTTCTGGAAAAATTCGAATAACTCGAGAACGGCCGAATCAAATTGCAAAAAGTAAAGTTATTTATAAACCTTGAAAACATACAAATCCAAATATGTAAAAATATACAGGGTGTTCTTTTTAAAAAAATAAAGTTGGTGGCGACTTCCGGTATAACCGGAAGTGCAAGAAATCTGAAAATATTTTAGACGAAGAGATCGTAATTGATAATACTTAAGTCTGAATTCTCAAATTTTTATTTTCTCCAGAACCCCAGAAACGTCTAATGACCGGTCTCGCTGAGACACCCTGTATATGGAACCAGTCGATTATCTCCTAAAGTAAGATAGCTAGCGAAAAATGTTAAGATACAAAAGTTTTAGTGTTTTTTTAAATCTATTACAATAAAGACAAATTAAATGTACAGGGTCAGTCAAAAAGATAAGACGAAACAAAGTTACGTTTTCTTTAATGGAACACCTGTATATTATTCCATATTTCGATTCATCTTGAAATTCTAAACAAAATTCATGTAGCTCATTATAAACCTAAACTCAACTGTTTTCGAGATATTGAACTTTGAAGATCACTCTTTTAAATTATACAAAAATATTTTAGGCGTTTATGTTCACAATTCATCAAGTTACCTTTGAAAGTTTTTCATCTCCATAGCAACGCAGTGACATAACACAACATCAAAAATATAAAAATAGTTTGAATAATTTGCCCCCAAAAATAAATTACGTCACTAATTAGATAAATTCGTAAATTTTGAAAAGCACGATATCTGGAAGACGGTAAAGTTTAGGTCTATGATGTGCTACATGAATTTTGTTATGAACTGAAATATGGAATAATATACAGGGTGTTCATTAAAGAAAACGTAACTTTGTTTCGTCATAACTTTTTGACCAATCCTGTGTACAGGGTGGTTCAAATTCGATGCCGAATAGGCTAACTCGAAAACTATAAGAGTTAGAAGAAAAATAGCTGACATGTCATGATCTCGTTTTTCGAGAAACTGCTAATGCCGAAAACCTCGTACCGCTATCGTCTTTTGTTTTTCCGCTAGAGGCCAAAATTGAAAATATCGTAAAACCCGCAAATGTAATTATCTTGGTTATTATTATGAGTGGAGTATTATAACTAAGACATTATATGGACACTTTTTTACAGAGAATTTGATGACGTAGTCAAAAAAATTTTGTCGGTTTTAGATTTTGAGATATTATCACAATTTTCGTTTTTTTTAATGGAAACAACCACTGATTATTCGCTTAATAAATTCGTTATTTTTTTCTGATTATAAAAATATAGGGTTTGACAGGTCTATTTCTTATTGTTTTAGAATGAAACTAAAAATAAACTTTTCTTTTAGTGTCGTCGAAAAAATTAAATTTACAGTTTCCTGTAAATTACAGTTCTATAACTAAAAATTAAAAAAACATATTTCTGATATTTGAAACAAATATATTTGTTGAACTGTTTAATTTATATATGTTTTACACAAAAGTTGGAATAGATTGCATTATTTCACATTTTTTATTACGATTTAATATTATTTTTAAATGACTTAATAAATTATCGATAGATGGCGCTCATTTTTTTTTTTTAATTCAAATAAACATAGCAACATTTGTTTGTATTCAAAAATTTTCTGAAGTGTCACTTTAAAAATCCTGTTTTTAAGATCAATTACGAAAATTTTGAAAAGTTTGACATGTTAGAATGTTACATATTAAAAAATTATTTGTTTTTAAATACCAGAAGTTATCTTCGTATTTAATTGTTAACTTTTTAGATTTTACCTACCGCCCCGTAACTTACAGGAAACTGTAAATTTAATTTCCTCGACGACACTAGATGGAAATTTTATAAAAAAAGTTTATTTTTAGCTTTATTCTAAAACAATAAGAAATAGACCTGTCGAACCCTATATTTTTGTAATCAGAAAAAAATAACGAATTTAATAAGCGAATAATCAGTGGTTGTTTCCATTTAAAAAAACGAAAATTCTCATGATATCTCAAAATCTAAAACCGAAAATTTTTTTTTGACTATGTCATGAAATTCTCTGTAAAAAAGTGTCCATATAATGTCGTAGTTATAATACTCCACCTATAATAATAACCAAGATAATTGCACTTATTGGTTTTACGATATTTTCAATTTTTTCCTCTAGGGGAAAAACAAAAGACGATAGCGCTATGAGGTTTTCGGCATTAGCAGTTTCTCGAAAAACGAGATCATGACATGTAAGCTACTTTTTTTCTAACTCTTATAGTTTCCGAGTTAGCGTATTCGGACATCGAATTTGAACCACCCTGTACGTAATTTGTCCTTATTGTAATAGATTTTAAAAAACACTAAAACTTTTGTATCTTGATATTTTTTGTTAGCTGTCTTACTGAGAGAGATAACTGACCGTTTCCATACATATCAGCGACCCTGTATATTTCTATTGAACTAACACTAGATCTAGAACTAGAAAGGTTCTAGATCTAGTGTTAGTTTTAGTGACAATGCTAAGTAGGGCTAGTTAGCACTAGATCGCTATGTTGTATATTTATATTGAACTAAAACTAGACCTTGGGAGTTTCTGGTTAAGCCATGAATTAATAACAAATACTCATATTAATCCATTATATCGATGTTTTTATAATTTATTTTTATTAATTACTTTTTTAATTTAATTTTTTTAGCAAATGAAACTTTATTACGAACTTTATTAAGTTATTGTTCCCTTCATGGAGCAACCGGATGTTTAGCTTCGGTCCGAATGGAATTAGTTTTATTATTACAAGAGTTACAACAAGAAAAAACTCACCAACAACTTTTAAGTCCATTACCGTTCCCCACGAGTTTACCATTATTAGCTGCCAGTGTTGCTAGTAGCAAAACAGTCGTTGCTGATCCAATAAGATATTTACAAAGTTTAACACACGATATGTTACAAACGGTAAATCATTTTAATTTAAATAAATCGTTAATTAATTTATTTTTAAATTAATTATTTTAGATGGTAGAATTATCTCAACCAAGTGTAAGCCAAAGTCAACTTTTAGTGCTAAGAGATTTAGCCATCGCTTTATCAGCGTGTATTTATCAATCATTGTGCGATTCAGACACATTTAAAAATGCAATTCAAGATTCACAGGTGAATATATTTTAATTGTCAAATTAATTAATAAAATTATTTCAATTCTTTTAGGAATGCTCCACCCATTTAGTTGGACGACGTAGAAGAATGTCAACGAATGAAATCCAACAAATATCAAATCTTCCATCAAAATGGCCGGGCGTAACTTCTTTAAGAGCCCTCCTCGCGCAAGAAAAAGACGAAGACACCCCAAGATTAACCGTTTTATTATGCGAATCTTTCGTGGCAACCTATCTCGCTTTGTTACTTTATGGATTGGTGACTTGCGATTGCGTAATTTTATTTTATTTGGCTGCACAAAAGTTTGATACTAATGCATGGGGGTCGTAAGTATTTAAAATAGATTGTTTTAATTTTTAATCAAAATCACGTTATCAAGTAATCAACTTGATAGACTTGCATAATTATTTGAAACGCCAAAATTCCAAAAAACGTCAATTTAATTTAATTTTTTAAGGTTTGACTTTAAAAAACGTAAACAAATTCCTTTTTTCGTATGATTTAAGCATAAATTAATAAATTTTTATAAAAAACATGACGTTTCATAAAATGACGTTTAATTTTGACAAATTGTTGTGATGTTGGTTACAGTTGGTAGCAATGAATTTATGTCACATTGACGTTTAAACTTTATTAAAAAAAATAAATTTACTTAATTAATTTCAATAGTAGTCGTGGACAAAGTATAGTATTCTACTCATATATAAAGAGCTATTATTCAGTAAGAAGGGCTTTCGACTCTTCAGGGTACCACGAGAAAAAAAAGAAAGAAAATTTGGTATAATTTTATCAACAGAACGACATAGTTTTAAATTTCCCGCTTGAGTTTCGAGCCAAAATGGCGGCAAGCCGCAGTAATATTTGTTTGTATTAAAAAAATTTCTGAAGTGTCAAATTAAAAATCCTATTTTTTAAGATGCATTATGAAAATTACAAAACGTTTAACATGTTAGAATGTTTCATATTAGAAAATAAAGTAAATTTTATATAAATTTTTAGTAGGATAATTTATATAGTATCGTAATTTACAGGAAACTGTAAATTTAATTTCTTTGACGACACTAAAAAAAAGTTTATTTTTTTTTAACTAAAACCTTATAAATTTAAATTTAATCATCATTCACGGGTAATCAACTTGATAGACTTGAATAATTATTTGAAACGTCAAAATTTCAAAGAAATTTCAATTTAATTTAATTGATTTAGGACTTTCTAAAGGTTAGATATTAAAAAAACCTAAACAAATTCATTTTTTTCATATGATTTAAGCATAAATTAATTAATTGTCGTAAAAAAACATGACGTTTCATAAAATTGACATTTAATTTTGACAAATTGTTGTGAAGTTGGTTACAGTTGGTGACATTGAATTTGTGTCACATTGACGTTTAACTTTATTCAAAAATTTATTTTAAAAAGTAATCAATTTCAATATTAGTTGTGGACAAAGTAGAGTATTCTACTCACACATAATGAGCTATTAATAATTTACTATTTTTTAGCCTCTTTGGTGGAAGTATGAAAAAGTTATTACGAACAGCAACCGCATCAACACCAACCCCAAGAACTTCAACACCAACCGACGACAACACAAGTTGGTTAAATAAACACCGATCAAAATGGAACGCGAAAATCTTAGGACATCAACAATCCGTTATGAAAGAGGATAAACCAACTTATCGCGAACAATTCGTCCCCCCCGAAATGAGTATAATGGCGTTTTTATTAACAAAACCCGACGTGGGGGCGGAATTCGATATTGACGATGAAGAATCGGAAAGCGAAGATGAAGAAGTTTTTAATAGCCCAGCCCCTGTTAATAATAACGAGCATTCAGATCCCAATTCGTATTCTTGGTTAGTTTTAAGATTGGCAACGTTAAAAATAGCTTTAGCAAGAATTAACGACTTTTTAGGAGTAAGTATTTTTTTACCTTACAAAAACTCAACTCAATAATTAAAATAGGTTGCAGGAATTGAATCAAGCGAACTCCCCGTTGCAAGTCCTTTAATCCACAGTATGCAAAGACGTTTAAATAAATGGCTTGATAATTTACGAGCGGAATTCGATTGTAGACAAACCCCACCTGAATACATTCCGGGTTGTTTCGTCGAAAACACCCCCGGTCCATTAATCCATAAATACCGTCAATTACTCGAACCCCACAACACCCCATTTTGCAATCAAACCGCTGCGGCGACGGCAAGACGTCTTTGGACTTACCTAGTTCATCAAGAATCTGTACGCGATATTTTTATTCGAGCCGTTTTCGGAAAACGTCGCTCAATGAGCGCTTTAGACGAGGTTCTTCCGCACCCAGAACCCGCATCAGAAGCGGTCCGAATTATCCATAAAGAACAAGATTCCATCGCTGCCTTCAGTATTAACCAAGTCAATTCCGGGCAGATCGTAATCGCGACTCCACGCGAACTCCAAGAAATGGATATCTCGTTATTGTTGGAACTCCCCGTTTGGTTGGAAGATGAATGCGAATTGGACATTTTAAGTATTTCACGGCAAGATCCCGAAGGGTTTATTACACCGTTTTTGGTTGTTAATACCGCGGGGGATAAAGCGAAAAGTACCCCGGGAAGTCCACCACCTCAACAAGCTAGCCAAAGTGGGAGGGGAACCACAGTGGTGAGTAGATTTAGGATTTATTTTGAATTAGGATGAAAGAAAGATTAAATTGTGGGGGCTGGGCTTTTTTTATTTTGTGGTGTCTGTTAGATAAAAGGTCTGAACTTTCCGGGATGTCACGATGCTGCGTTCGTTCATCTTGTGCTGCAACGTTCGGCGCATATGATGCGTTCGGTCTGTCTCTACCTGACTTCATATCTATATTAGATAAATTTAAAAAAAAGTTGCTTGTGAATTCCCTTTATTTATGTTCGCAGATTTTTAATATTTTTTGATGATATAATTGCATCCTATGATTGTTTTTTTAGATTTATATCATTTTATTCACCTTTACCTGCTTAAACGGGAACTGATTTTTGATCATTTGAAACTGGTTTAATAATTTTTATTTTTAATTTAAAAAAATTCTTTAATGTCAAAATGACATTATTAGGTTGGTTAAATAAAAAATCACTGTTAGTGTCAAAATAATTGTGGCGGTTTATGTTGGTAACAATTATCTTTTGACGTTTAAAATTGGTTATGTTTTGATTCTATTGTCATTAATCAATAGGGCAACCAAAAATATGCTCAAAAAATGATAGTTTAAGCGCTTAAAAAATGCTGTATAAAAATCAAAATATGCTGTTTAAACAACCGGCGAGACGATAGCAACAAACCGCCCAGCAACAAACTTTTTCCTTTATATTTCCACCTACTTCTAGGGCCCATATCTTTGTTATTTAAAAAGATAGCAAAAAACTAAGCACACGGTTGGAAAGCTTGGTCTTTTCTCTATCTTAAACCGAGTTTTCGTCCGCCGATATGTTGATAATAAGAGCAAGAAAAAATAAGAAACGTCGCGCTGCATTCAATTTACCTTAAAATTACCAAACTTCACGGCCTTGTGCAGNTAAAAGTAAGAAGTTCTTGAGTGAATGATAGTTCATGTTTGTTTGAACATGAAGAGATTGATTTGTCTTTACTAGAATTTAGACCAGGTGTTAAATTATACAGTGGTGCTAATGAATGAACGAATGAATATATGATAAAAGTTTATCATACCTAAGAATCTTTGTAGCTCTTTTAAAGAAACAGTGCTGTACAGTTATTTAAATGCAAGTTGAAGTCTTGTATGTGAGGAAGAGGGTAACGATCAAGAACAGTTAAAATTTAGATGATGATAATCTCCACAGGGTCCCCAACCATTGGACTCTTTTTTAGGGACCATATGTTATGGAGAAGCTGTGGACGAAAATGATGAAAAATACCTAAAGATACGATAGTTTCAAATTTTTTTTTAGCAATATTAAATTTTTAATGATATGGTGATTTGTAGAATGCATCACTGGGGAAGAAAAATCTGGGGGAGAAATTAATTTTGAGTAGCATTTTAAAAGTTGTTTAAATTTCGTTTCAATAGAAAATAGTTTTGGTGAAGTTGAATTAGTTCGTTGGATTAAACGTATTGAACATAGATTGGTTTCCAAATCAATTAAAGGACGATTTTTAATATATAATAAGATACCGTATTTATGTAAAAAATCGGCACAGATAATTGTTTTTTTAACATCGGCTATAATAAATATGAAAGGGTAATTTCTTCTAAGATTTAATGATCACGTTAATAATTTTTTGTCATTAGTATTTATCGAATTTCCCTTAGCAGCCGAAAGGAATTTAGTAGAATCCTGTTTGTGTTGTAGATACAACGTGTGAGGAAGTACTGAAATATCTGCGAAGACAAAGATTGGCGAATAAATGAAGTAGAACCTCTTGGTCGCTAAAGAGTTGTAGTAATTAAATAATTTTAACTGTTTTTAAAAATTAAAATGCAAAGGCAGACGTGTTGTCTGGTTGGTTGCTTATAATCGAATGATATTTACATCGAAATCAACAAAAATGGTAACAAAGGTAATTTATGATAATAAGGTAATTTGATAAAAGTTATAATTTCTATGTGTACGCTACAGTCGCTCTATATAGAATGCAAAACACCGGAGAATCACGTATGTACGATTTGTGTAGTCAAATATTCTCGACACATAAAACTTAAGCAGCACAATATTGTACCGGTCTTATGGTCTCGACGCAGAAGTACGAGCGCGTTAATTATAAACAGTCGAAAGAAATGTTCTAGTTGAAAAGAAATAAGTCATCTAATTGTAAAAAAATACAAATAATATAATTAAAAATAAACTACGTTTCTTCGTTAATAATGTAACGAAGTAACATTTTTTTTTTAATTCCGAAAAATTAATAACATCCGAATATACTTCCCACATTATCCCGACCTCCTACAGTTTCCGCCCGATTTAGAAAAATCCAAAAATTGATACCTTATCACCACCCACTTATGCAACTTTATTCGCATTTTCCTTAATTTCTTAATTTCCTTAATTAAACTTCAAATTTTCATATTAATTCATTTAAAACCGTTAAATCTTTTTCTGATAACGTTTCCTGACCGAATTTCAAATAAACAAAAGCAATTAGTGGAAATCGCCAAACGACGTAATTACCGAAAGCACATGGTTTCTGAAAGACCATGAAGTTTGGTAATTTTAAGGTAAATTGAATGCAGCGCGACGTTTCTTATTTTTTCTTGCTCTTATTATCAACATATCGGCGGACGAAAACTCGGTTTAAGATAGTGAAAAGACCAAGCTTTCCAACCGTGTGCTTAGTTTTTCGCTATCTTTCTAAATAACAAAGATATGGGCCTTAGAAGTAGGTGGAAATATAAAGGAAAAAGTTTGTTGCTGGGCGGTTTGTTGCTATCGTCTCGCCGGTGTTTAAACATGAAAATATGCTCTATAAAAAAGAGTCTTTTCCAAATATTCCTATCAAATTTAAAATGTAGTTGTTTTTTAAATCTGTAGGCGAAGTTAAACAAAATAAAGTAGAAATGATTTCGATTTATATCTTGAGACATTTATTAGTTTGACATGTTTAAACTAAAAGACAATTAGAAAATATTGAACAATATACAAAAGACAAATAGAAAGAAATAGATAATAAAACAAATACAGATTCAACTTAAATTTTGATTACAATAAATGACAAACATCTCACCTAAATTATCAAAAAGGAAGCTTTGTCTGTTTGCACGTAAAACATTCTTGTACATTGAAAAACTTCGTTCCACTTCCACTGAAGTTATAGGTGCAAACTTAAATGCTAGTATTTCACTAACAGTGTATTTATTGTTTTTATTTCTGTAGATCCTGTACTTAAACATGTAGAAATTTCTTTCAAAATAGAAAAACCATGATTTTTTGAAATACACATATCCATTTTTTTCTTTACTGGCTTAGCAGTTTCACTGTTTATTCCATTAATTAAGTCCTGAGCTTTTGTCACTATATCAACCTGTGCAGAAAGCGAAAGCCCAGTTGTTTCCAATGTTTTTATTGACGCACAAAGGAAGCCATAATTTGATGCAATGAAAATCAAATCTGATTTTATTGTATTGTCATTTAGTAAGGCCTTTGAAATTTTGATTGACGCAGCGTCCTCTTCGTCTAATGCATCAAACACATTCCTAATTATTTCGAAATTAGTTGCATAGTACTTTGCCGCTTCAATCCATGTTCCCCAGCGAGTAGTTACCGGTTGTGGAGGAAGAACAATACTAGGCGCTATTTCCTTAAAAATTGCTACTCTTGATGGCGCTTTTAAAAATACTTTTTTCACATTGGCGATAAGCCGGTCGATGTTAGTGTATGTACCTCGAATTTGCTCACAAACTCGATGAAGTCCGTGTGCAGCACAAGTCAAGTGTGTCACTTTTGGATAAAACGTTTGTATCGCCTTTGCTGCTTTTACCATGTAGGGAGCAGCATCTGATACAAAGAGTAAAATCATATCTCTGTTGAAAGTCTCACCCAAAATCTTAACAGAATCATCGAAATGTCTTGCAATAGTGCTATGATTCGCTTTATCAAGCACTGCTGTATTTAACAAAAATTTTTGTTTCGCAATCGACTCATCATTATCCAAAATACCAATGATGACATTTGCCACATATCTTCCTGTTGCATCTGTGGTTTCGTCAATTGAGAGCCACAAGAAGCGACCGTTGATACATTTTCGTATGTGTTCTATGGTATTTTGGTAAAGTTCCTTAACATACTTTGTGCGAAGAGTAGTTTCAGATGGTACTTTGTACTCTGTGTATGACTCTAGGAACGATACTAATTTTTTGTTACGCATTTTATATAGAGGTATATCAGCTGAAATTAGTGCGCTACATAGATCTTCTGCAAATTGAATATCTTTTGATTTGGATGTGGAACATTCAGCAAAAAAAGGCTGAGTAGTTTTCTTCTCATTATTTTTTTTCTCTAATTCTATGTGTTTTAAACTTGCTAGATGCTGTTTTACCGAGAATATTTTTTCGGCTGACACAGATTTGTTGCACACTTTGCAAAAAAGTACCTTACCATCAGTTTTGAATACAGGATATTCACGCACATATTGGGATAACTTTCCTGAACTTTTCGAATGTCGATAATTTAGTATTCTTTAAAGAATTGAATAACTTTATGGTAACTTTATATCAAATTGCAAAATAAAATTTTGAAAATATGCATTAAAAATATTCATTTATTTCCAAAAATGTTATATAATTTAAAAATATGCAATGTATGCTCGTATAGATAAAATAAGCAAAAATATGCTCTAACAAATACGGCTCAAAATTCATAGATTGATTTGAAACAAATTTCTATCTAGTCCATTTTATTCTGGAGGGTATGAAAAAAATATACGTTTGCATATTTTTGGTTGCCCTATTAACCAATCAGGAATTCAAAGAGATTTTTACTGTTGCAAAGGGCTACTAATATATTTTTGTGTACCTGTTTACCCTATCATAACCTCAAAACCAATTTTTCGCCTTACATTGGTTGTAAACATCAATTTGCGGCCGCCCGAATGTTGGATTGAAGTTTTCCTTAAAGTAACTATAATAAAAACTATATTTTACTCATTTTTCTCTTATCCTTATCTCAGGATGTTCGGTTTGGAACACTTAGTATTGGTTTTTCCTAGAACCAGAATGTGTTTCTCTTAGTTCATGCCCTCAATCGTATTTCCACTGCGATTTTTGCCTCTCATATCGACAGGTGTTGTATTCTGCACTAATAGGATACAAAACCTTGCAACTCTATCTCAAGAAACTCCATGTATTTGTACTGGAGTAAACTCGCGATTGATTTTAATATTGTATAGAAAAGATTTACTTTTTGTCTGTGGGATTCGAGTTGAAAATGAAGCAGTTCTACAATCATCATTATCTGAGTTTTTCTTCTTTCTACGTTTTAATTAATGTTTACAAAAAATGTAAATCTTGTTGGTTTTTAGTTTGTAAAGAATATAATTTGTTCCAGATCGCACTTTTCGTGTCGTTATCAATAAACAAACTACATTTTCTAGGGCAGACAAGTTCATTAGGATTAATTTTTCCAGAAACAAGGTTACCTTTGTAGTTTGTGTACTCTTCACCTTTCAGTCTTGCTTTCCTTATGACTTATTACGTTTATATTTATTTTCATTTACAACACCTCGTTTTTATAGGAATAATGGTAAAATTCGTTTCAATATATTTTTGTTTAAACTAACTTTTTAAGATGCAATTATATTATCAGTTAAATTCATTTAGTTATCATAAAAACAACCTTATTCTCCAGTAGTTAACCCCCGATCTTTACGAAAGCATGTTTAGGTTGCTGTTAATTTAGATTCCAAATTAAATAAATCTTAAATTATGAGACAAATTTGTTTAACAGACTTTCAAGCATAAAATCGATGGAATCCGAAGGATAACTTCGCATCCAACGATGCCACTTTGTAAGTTTTAAAATTAAATTAATAAAAATTTGACCAATTCAATTTTTTTAATTAAAATTTAGATTTAACTGGTGGTCAAGATGGATCTGTTCAATTATGGGAGTGGGGTCATAGTCAAGCTGTCGCGTGCCCAAGAGAATCGGGGACTTACGCTAAAGTTACAAGATTGAGATTTTCCCAACAGGGTAATAAGTTTGGGGTTGCCGATTCAGATGGAAATTTAAGCCTTTTCCAATGTGGTTTAAAAGCAAATTCAACCAGACCGTTCTTTGTAAGAATTATTTACAGTGAATTTCACTTAAGATGCAATACTAATTTTGTCCCACATAAAATACAACATGTCAATATAATTTGACATTACAGTAAAAGTCGATAAAACGGATCAATACGCAGAGTTCGTTATAGCGCAATAAAAATATACAACTATTTAGCGCTGAATAACAAATTATTTCAGATGTCTTTAGATGCACAGCTTAACCTAAATGTTTCCAGTTCTAGATAAGTGTTATTCTAATTTTAATTGTTGTGCAGCGCTAGACCTAACACTATACCTAGAACTAGAAATATTCGGGTTTAGCCGTCTTAACATACGTTTACAAATTGTGAGTTCCAGGCTCATCTTTTGATAATTTTTAAAATTAAAAGCAATGATAATTTATTTTACTATTTAATTCGGTGCTATTTTCGAAAATTTCGAACGACTAGTGTTCTTCATCAGGCACGACTATGGGAAATGAACCCAAGGAATGTTTACATACAGGGTGAGTCAGAAAGAATGGGAACTCCGAATAGCGGAGATACTAGATACCAAAATATGATGATTTAACGTAACATCTCTTATACAAATGTGAGTGGTTTTCGAGGCATAGGGTGTTGAAAGTTAAATTCTTATTTCGAAATTTCTTCATAATTTTGAAGGTTTTTGTACTATTAACATAAAATTTGGTAGTTTTATGTTTTCGAGCATGAGAAATACGAATTTGAAACTTGTTTTGTTATTGCTCGTAGAGGGCACTAGATACTAGGGATGCAACATCGCTCATAAAAACATCGATATTAGAACATCGATGTTTTCCAAAAGTGAAACATCGATGTCGAAAACATCGACTTATTATACCGATACATCGATGTTTAAAAAAAATATTCAGTGGCTGAATTTTTATTATAAGAATTATCACAATAATCAATAATATTTGGACAGCGTTCTGCATCACTTGACTAAGCGACAAATAATAATAATAATAACTTTATTATCATAAATTTAATCACTAAAACTAGACACAAAATGATGACGATTTGTGTAAAAATTTTTGAAGAAAATAATCTAGAGTTTGATTTTGTACTTTTAAACTGGTTTTTATTTTATATAGAATTTAACTCTAACCAGTTTCGGCCCTTGGCCATCTTCAGAGACTCTACAAATAGATTAACATCTCTCATCTTATCCATTTTACAAACAAGTTTCTTAATATTTCTTTTTGTTTTGTTAAAAAAGATCACATATCAATGTCGAAATCAGATTATTAGTTACTAATTTACAAAATTAAAGTTTAAAAAGTTGTAAAATGAAACTAAGGACGAAGTGTTACAAGTTTACAGATTAAAATTTAAGAACGCTCTTTTTTAACGAAAGAAATATTAAGAAACTTGGGAAAAATTCAAGAATCATCATGTGGCTTAAAAATCGACGATTTTTTTTAAT